CCTCCCACGACCCCTTGAGCATATGACAAGACCCCCACGCCCCCTTGAGCATATGGCAAGACCCCCACGCCCCCTTGAGCATATGGCAAGACCCCCACGACCCCTTGAGCATATGACAAAGACCCCCCACGCCCCCTTGAGCATATGACAAGACCCCCACGCCCCTTGAGCATATGACAAGACCCCCACGCCCCCTTGAGCATATGACAAGACCCCCACGCCCCCTTGAGCATATGACAAGACCCCCACGCCCCCTTGAGCATATGGCAAGACCCCCACGACCCCTTGAGCATATGGCAAGACCCCCACGACCCCTTGAGCATATGGCAAGACCCCCACGACCCCTTGAGCATATGACAAGACCTGCAACGCTCCTTGTCACCCCCACCAACATAATCAAGTCTAATTAAATGGATTAGGAGTTAGTTTTGGTCAGAATGTGTTCTTAATCTAAAATTAAATGCAGGTGTTATCATATTAACTATATATTTGACGGTAGATATAGAAACTGCTTATCAAAACAAAAACAACGTTGCCGTTTTACTTAAGAAATAATTCTAAAAATATTTATGTTTGTAATTATATAAAAAGAAAATGTTAGTGTAACAGATTATTACAAGTGCCAATGATCAGATACGAATTCGATATTTGAGAATATGTGCGGCTGAGATTTTCTCCACCCATCGGAATGCAGCAGTTATCTCTTGAACATCCATTATCATGCTGGATGAGGTAATGTCGTTTGCTAATTTCTCCTCGAATACCCCCCCCCCCCTCTTTTCCCCCGGCTTTCGTCATGAAGCCCCATCCATTCTTTCTACCCCTGCCCATCAATGGATATAATCGCATCTTCTGGACTAGAGTTGTCTTGATTCAGTTGTTGAACTTCAGAGTCTGCACGTCCTGCCACCCATTCCCTACAATGTCTGCCCAAGGTAATCACCACTTTTGTGCAGCTTTTCTCTGCCCTCCAGAATCCGTACCAATCTTCTCTTCAGCTAATCTCTTTAACGCTGCACATACTGTTGGTTTCCTTTTTAGCCTGTACCAACCCTCACCTGCCCCTCTTAAGTCTGTCACCCTTCACAGTATCTAGTTTCCCATGAAGGATATGTTCTGTATCACTTACAACTCTAATATAGTAAGTACCCAGCTTGATTGTAAGCATCCCCAAAATCACTTGCTACTGCAACCGTATACGTTCTGTTTTGGAACCCTTCGTATACAGATGACGTCTGTGTACTAAAATCTCGGTCCTTAGAGTTGTTGATTAATTCAGCCCATTATGTTTGCCCTAACCATCGTAGCTTTCTGTCAGCGAAACATTCGATTATTTTTTGTTTTTTGTTTTTGTTTAAAGTGGTTTTCGTCTACGTGAGTAGTCTAAGTCCATTGTGTGTCTGTGTGTGGGGTGGAGGGGGAGGGGATGGAGGTAGGAGACCCACTGCTCCGATAACAAACATGTCGCAGTAGGCGACTAATTGGCGAAATAATTGCTTTAATTGGATATGTTCGGTTGAAAGGTCAGAAAGACAGAAAGATGTCGCAGCCTACATGTAAGCCAGCATATAACTTGCCAACATCCCTTTAAAACGCGAACAGAGAAGAAGAGCAAATGTCTGATTTTGAATAGTCGTATTAGCTGTAGTAGCAGTAGTGGTGGTGTTGGTGGTGGTGGTGGTGGTGGTGATAGTAGTAGTAGTAGCAGTAGTAGTAGCAGTAGTAGTAGTAGTAGTAGTAGTAGTAGTAGTAGTAGTAGTAGTAGTAGTAGTAGTAGTAGTAGTAGTAGTAGTAGCAGTAGCAGCAGTAACAGTAAGAGCAGAAGTAGTAGTGATAGTAGTAGTAGTTGTAGTAGAAGCAGTAGCAGCAGCAGCAGCAGAAGTAACAGTAATAGTAGTAGTAATAATAGTAGTAGTAGCAGCATCAACAGTGGTGATGTTATCAGCAGCAGCAGCAGTAGCAGCAGAAGTAGAAGTAATAGCGTAGCATCAGTACCAGCAGGAGCAGCAGCAGCAGCATGAGTAGCAGTAGCAGCAGTACCAGCAGCAGTAGCAGTAGCAGGAGTAGCAGTAGCAGGAGTAGCAGTAGCGGCAATCTTCTACATCTCCGCTCCCTTGCGATCTCCTCCTCCTGGCAACGAACTGGTTACTCACGTGATAGAGATCTTGCCGATGTTCTTGCTGGGCGGGTACCACAAGACCTCCATGGTGGATCTGATGAAGGCCGCTGTGTGGGTCAAGGTGTCGTCCTTCTCGTAGCAAGTCAATGTTTTCGAGGCCGGGGGCACGTTGGCAAAGTAGCCCGCAGGTTGCCCGAACTCTGACCTCGCTTGTAGCATGAAAGCCATGAAGTCACGTGCCCCAGCCCCGGTCGCCGAAACTGTCACTGTAAATAAACAATATGTGGGTTCTTGAATTTCAATTCACCTCAAACAAAGACAATCATAGAGTATCTGGGAAAGTCCAAAATGCTAAGGGGGTTAGGCTTAGGGTTAGTCGGAGTCTCTGAGGTGACATTATTATTATTATTATTATTATTATTATTATTATTATTATTATTATTATTTTATTATCATTGTTATTATTTATTATTAAACTTTTGTGCCGATGGGTCTATAAGAATATATGTCTAGCCCTATATTCTCAATACGCCTAAAGGCGGGGAAAAATGTCCTTTATCACAATCACTTTACCCTGGGCATTCCTGTGCGTTCTCCGTCCTCCAAAGCAGAAGCAACCCCACGATACCTATACTGACTGTTTCCATGAGAAGCTAGAGTACTTGAATTTTAAATGACTTTATCTCGTCGGCTTTCATATTTGATAAAAAAAAAATCGTCAGGTCGTCCCATAGTATAGGAGTTAGGGTTAGTAGTGGTCCCTATTCATTTAACACTAGCCCTAACTCTAACGCCCCCTCCCCCTTTTTTTTCCCTCAATATGGGACTTCTGGGGGGAAAAACTAGTAAAATAGGGCTATATATATTAGCACCTTTCCATCTTTACAGAACGTATTATTACACTGTTCTGTGAGGAGGCATGGAACTCACAGCCCATGGCGATGGCGACTGTGTCTAGCAAGACCTGCCGGCGTTACTTAAAAAAACAAAAGTCTTCCACAATTATAGCATTGGATTTCAAGACAATTGTTGTAAACATTTTGGTTCAGTGTGTTTCTTCTCAGACACTCAGCTCTCATCCGTTCTGTAATCATTTCTTCCTTCTTCTCATTCCCTTTCTGATGTGTCCCCCTCCACACAACACGGTCCATGGCATTTTGTTCCCACGAGTCCACCTCATTACCAGTATTATTCATGTTCTGTTTGAAAATATTTTATCATAGTAGAGGTCAGCCCTGACATCTTCTACCCATTTTTAATTCACTAAATAAGGATGCCCTTAGGGATTTTGGTATCCCCCATTCTCTAGAACTGATCCAGCCACCTGTGCCTTATTAGACTGAGCACTGAGAAAACTGTTGTAGTACCTGCGCTTTCCAATACCTCAGTGTTTGTGATCTTGTCCTGACACTTAATGCCATGTATTCTGTCATTTCCTCCAGCTGGACTCTCAACTGATCTCAACAGTGAATTCTTTACTGCAAATCTCACTCCATACTTCCTGATTTCTACCTGTTCGTTGCCTTTCCAGAAAAAATGTATAATTATTTTCTCTAATAGTCCTATCCTTTGGCAAACGTGTTTCCTATAGGTAAGCAAAATCTATGTGAAGTTTGTTGAGTTCGGCATCAATGATGGCCGGTTGTCTTACATCCCTTATGTTTACCAGGTCAGTGGAAGACCCAGGACACATGGTCCTGACGTTCCGAAGAGCAAAGCAGAAGTTTGAAGTTATGTTTCCTTCTATTGCCTGGTGCGTTAGTTTTTACCTACAGATGTATTCCTATTTTGTACCGGCTGTCTACCCGGCACAGTGTTTTTCTAAACGTCTAGACCGGCACCTGCGCTCTATTTCATCGACATTCGTCATTGGCTTTCTCTTGGACGAATCCAGAAGGAGAAAATTCCAGAAACTCCGTTCAGCTTTATGAAATAGTCATGTTGATGTACCCGTAGAGCTGTCAAAACTCTAAGTCTCCCCGGGTAGTTTTCCCTAGCTCATCGTCTATTTTTTTCCACCTTGCTGTTTGATATTTTTTGTTGGTGCCTTAAAATGTGCCAAATCTATTTCACAGTCCGTAATATTTCAACTCCCAGAGTTCTATTACACCTGCTTGAGATTTGGAGAAAACTGCTTTGCGTTACGTTTGACAACAGTATGTGCGTTGTACCGTTCAGCAGCAATTGCGATAATGCTGAATGCAAAATTGCTAAGAAAAACTGCTAGACAAACTGAAAAATATGGGTTTGATTTGCAACGTCAAAGTCAAGAATTACAGTCCATGTGTACATGAGTCAGAAATACCATCTTTGTCTACATTACAATCAAGAATTAACATCTGTAGTTAAATCACGGTCATGCATTACCATCAGTGTATACATCATTGTCAGAAATACCATCTTTGTCTACATTACAATCAAGAATTAACATCTGTAGTTTAATCACGGTCATTCATTGCCATCAGTGTATACACCACAGTCAGAAATTATACTCTGTGCATATCACTTTCAGAAATATCCTTCTGTATGTACTAGGGCTGTACCGAATATTCGCTTCGGGGCCGAATAGTGGACTTAATAACTATTCGGTTTTCGGCGGAATAGTTGCGGTCGGACCGAATACGAATAGTGGTTACCTTACGCCCGTTTCTGGACAGGTGGGAAATGAACATTTCAAGATCTCCCACCTTGATTAATACTGTGAAGCGTTACTTTGTGCACCACCTACGAGCGTACCAAGTGAACGTCTGTTTAGTACAGCTGGAAATACCTTCATTTTTGTAAGCTAATGCTTTCTTGCTTGCTACATACATCCAGTTTTAACATATAGCTGTGAGTCCTGGACAATCGGTAGGCAGGCCAAACAATTTGAGGCCTCAGAGATGTGGTTTTACAGAACAATGCTTAAAATACCTTGGACAGCCACACACACACACACACACACACACACACACACACACACACACACACACACACACACACACAAAATGGAACACGTGGTGACTACTGGAAAGATCTTTGCCAGTCGGCAAAGCACCTGATGATGATGATTCACTATTCCTATTCGTATTCGGCCGAATAGTTGGTCCAGCTATTCGTATTCGGCCGAATAGTGAAAATCACTATTCGGTACAGCCCTAGTATGTACACAAATTTAGAAATCTCCATCTGTGTGTACAACACGTTCAGAAGTTACCATCTGTGTACACATCGGTCAGAAATTACAATCTGTATACACATGTCAGAAATGACTATATATGTACACATCAGTAAGAAATTACTATATGTGTACACATCAGTTACAAATTACCACCGATGTACGCCTCAGTCAGAAATTACCACATACGTACATATCAGTCAGAAATTACCGTCTATGTACACATCAGTCAGAAATTATCACACATGTACACAAGAGTCAGAAATTACCATATACGTGCACATCATAAATTACCATCTATGTACACATCCGTCAGAAATTGCTATCTATATGTATCATGTTGGCGAGTGTAGATTAGGGTAACAATTACAGTTTCATAATTTCGACACACCAGGGTTTGAAGTCAACGTCTAGAGCCTATTTGGCAGCAGGTTACCTAGCGATGATTTCGTTAACGGTATGGGTCTCAACCGTGCAGCGAGCAATGGTGAGGTTTAACGGTGTGGGCCTTAACCGTGCAGCGAGCAGTGGTGAGGTTTAACGGTATGAGCCTCAGCCGTGCAGAGAGCAATGGTGAGAGTTTAACGGTATGAGCCTCAGCCGTGCAGCGAGCAATGGTGAGGTTTAACGGTATGGGCCTCAACAGTTCAGTGAACAATAGTAAGGTCATTAATGCGAAGTTACTTTGTACAACCACAAGCAACTTTAAACGCTGGGGTTAGTGTGGGATGTCCGGTAAAGAACATTGTTCAGCGGCGACAATAACATAGATAAGATGCAACGATTCTACTCACGCTTCAGAGGTTGGGTTCCATATGTGGTGTCGTTTAGGATGAGCATGTAGGGGGACGCGGAGTTTTGTAGCTCTCCATCAACATGGACCGGCATCAGATGACCACATGCTGACAGAGGGGCGCCCGAAGGAAAGGCTGCAACTTGGCGAATCCAAAACAAGCAAATTATCAAAACTATATCCATCAGAAAACATGAGTGAAACTGGAGATCCATTGTCGGAATTTTGCAGTCAGAAGTTCTCAACTCAAAGCTAATATGAAATTTCCAATGGTTGTAATCAGTCACTATATGTATTATATCTTGTGCAGTCCTACTCTTTGTCAATGCTTTTGGATCTATGAGTAATTAATTAGCTCTAGAGTGAAATAGAAAGTAAAATAATGTAGTATTGAAATGTTTATCAATTAGTTCTAGATTTAAACAGTTTAGAATTATTTTTTATTTTTAAAAGAGTTGTAATTAATATTTCTTAACAGCTAGCTTTCTTTTGTTGTCAATATTAGTATTTCTAAGACTTTCGTTTGATTCCTTAAAATTTTTGTTGATTTCTTTTCTTGATAATTTTTGATAACGTTTGCCTATACAGCTGAAAGATCTATAAGTAAACGTTGTGTTGGGAGGGGAAGTAAGTCACTTTTAATCCTATATTCATTTCGCTCCCCTTTCGCCAAACGTCAAAGGAGGACAGTATAAATGTTGACGGGGAAACTTGTCCCTGGGGGAGGGACTTCGATCAAACAGGATATTATAAATGGTGTTTGTAATGTCGTCACTGTAGGCGAGACAGTTCGTGCTGTCATGGACTGCCTGGGGTCGAGATTTGAGTCTATTGCTAGAGCGAAGACACGGTTGGTTGGTTACTTCTGGAAATTCCGGTTAATGTTTAGTAACTTTACAAGGGGCTTGAACATAAGCTGGTTGAGAGCATATGTTCTGTTGGGAGATTAAAGTCTGAAGTACGGTTTAAAACATTCAGGAAATGTGACTTATTACTCAATATTGTTTTCATCGTCTGAAATACAGCTATTGTTAGGTCTATTCTATCATTAATCGTTGTCTGATGAGGAAAGCGTAACATAAATATTGGAGTGATGTCTTGGTTGAAATGAAGGTCAATCATATTCGTAAATCTAAAATATAATACAAACAGATGCAGACCGTCAAGTAACGCTTAAGTCATTTGAGAAATGGCATGCACCTGCCTAATTTAGTTTAGCTAACGTCACGATTAGAATTTTATGTTTGTCCTTATCAGAAGACAACCACATGACCTTAGCGAGGTTTCGAACCTGGGTCTCCAGCGCGGGAGGAGCTTTTTTCCCAAGTTCGGGGAGCCGCTTTTCTTGATGTGAAGTGTATGAAGAATATGTAGGCAGGCTTGCGTGTACACCCCGCACTCCTCTTTCTAAACACGTCACTGTCAACGCCTTCATCCGGGCCTCGAGGCTCTGGCACGTACAATCAATCATTTTACAGGTTTCAAAGTAGGAAGTTACTTCTAACCCAGACGACACGGCCATTTTTGACTCATCAAGGAGATGACACATTCAATAGACGAGTCAAAGTGAATCCTAGTGCAAGATTTATTTTTAGTCTCTCCTTCTTTGAATGTCTAGCTTGCTGGTGTGGGCGAACATGTCTTTCAAAGAGCATCGCTCTCGATGGCTGTCGAATCACTATATTAAAGGCACCTTGGCAGAGTTACTAGTTAAGGGACTGCGTGGTCTCGATTCTCCGAGGTTCAATCCCCGGTAAGGGCTCGGATTTTTTTCACGTGGACTTCTAGTAATTTCCCCCTGGTTTCTGCGTAGTAAGATCTGGCGCCGGTGTGTATTGTTGCGCGCGTAAAAAAATCCCTTGGCAGTTGGAAATGGAAAAGAAAAAGTAGCCTCACGGCGCTGCCCGTGCAAAATTTGAAGTTACAAATCTACCCAAAGAATTTCAGGATCCTCGCCGGAGCTTCAGAGCCTGTGCACTGTGCTGAGCTTCTTCAGACTCAAAACCTGAGTTAGAAGAAGAACTGTGCACTAATGGGTTACTACCTGTGTGCATGATGTTGATCCGTTGTTCATTTTGGCAGGGCTGCTAGATAAAAAGCAATCAAACAAAAAACTTCAATTTAAGCCAAACGTACTACCTAAATGAAGCCAGAAAAAAGCAAAAGAAAATGTAACATTGTACTCGCTTCACATCGAAAGCTCTAGACTGAATTCCTGACTGTCATCCTCACTGGAACAAGTGGAAGATACAGCGTAAAGCTTTTCAGCATTGAGCACAGGCGATGTAATATTTTTTTTTTGTATTATGCACAAACATTTCGTTCCATGCAACTGTATGTGTTCCTGTGTACTCCCCTGACTATCATTTTTCACTTAGATGATCAACTGTGCACAATGGCTGGTCATGCTTTCAACAATTTGCAACTCTGCTGCTTTAACTTTATCATTACTTTGCCTAAGAGTCATTTTTGTAAACAGCTCAAGAACGTTAAACAAGATTAGCGCGCGGTGTTGCGACTCATGTCACTTGTAACGAGCTAGTCGTATTCTAAACAAAGGTCGTATACAAGCAACAGTTGTCGTGCCTAAAGAGGACGTTTACTAAGTCTTCTTGACGGAGCGGGACCATTTTATTAAATTAAAAAAAAATGACCTTGGCTCACAGGGCGGCCCAGCCTTAAGTGGGTACCAGTAAAGTCTCGGAAAGTAACGGTGGCAGGTGTGATGTTGATTACATCAAACAACGAGTGCCGATTGGTCTTAACAACAAGTTGAGTTAAATTGACATCACAGCACTTGTGGCATTTATATGCATGCTCCGTCCTCATCTTCAGCAGCCAGCGCAGAGTTCTAATACTGATGGTACCGGTCACAATCTGGTTAAATGTCCGTCTTGCTTTCCTCTGAGTGTAGTCAACCAGTAAGACCCTCTGTTTACACCCAAGAGCCTCATTCTCTCCAGGCCATAATAATCTTCTTTTACTTCTACTGATTCCGTTGCTTGTTCCGAAAGGGCCTTGACCACATCTGCATTGTCATGTATCAATTCACCACCAAGTGGTGTAGATCCAGCCAATCTGCCTGTTTATTACCAACCACGCCGGCATGGCCTGGAGAAAAGATGCAAAGCGTGCTCACTACCCGTGACCTTTCCAGCATGCTTTCAGAGTCCGTTACAATTACGACATGTGTATACATCTTGTTCTCTAGCCATCGGAGAGCTGCAGTTACCGCCTCCACCTCCATTCTCATGATAGATGTTGTGGTGTCATATGCTAGTCTGTCTTGCACTACGAGTAAATAGGTCTAACTATAATCATGCCTAATACACTTTATGGGGTGGAAAAGGGCCCTTTATGTGATATCAAGCTGCACATATTCCAAAGTGCCCACTGGTCTGGGGGAAAAAAAACTAGGCCTAGTTCTGTACGCCCAATAAGACTGGAGGCGTAGAAATGGGTCCTTTACATTTTACCAATCCTGACTTATTCCATAGCAGACGTATACCTCGGTACCACTGTAGTTCAAATAACTTTGCAGCCACTGTGTATTTGTCATTATTTGATAAGTAAAGCAGAGAAACTCTGTTCATCCTAGTGTTGCATAGGGCAGATGATGTTATATCTATATTTTAGAGATCAATCGCTACCCCACTGGTGAGGTAATCAATAAAATATCAGTCACTTGAATTCTCCTGCAAATTTCCTGTTGCCCAATTTATGCTGTGTCGTTATGGAGTTTGGTATTATGTGCCAAGAAGAGCATGTTCTTTCAATGATAAACTTGCGATCGACTGTAGTTTCAAATGATAAACTTGCGATCGACTGTAGTTTCCAATGATAAACTTGCGATCGACTGTAGTTTCCAATGATAAACTTGCGATCGACTGTAGTTTCCAATGATAAACTTGCGATCGACTGTTTTCCAATGACAAACTTGCGAGTTCCATTCCAATGATAAACTTGCGATCGACTGTAGTTTCCAATGATAAACTTGCGATCGACTGTAGTTTCCAATGATAAACTTGCGATCGACTGTAGTTTCCAATGATAAACTTGCGATCGACTGTAGTTTCCAATGATAAACTTGCGATCGACTGTAGTTTCCAATGATAAACTTGCGATCGACTGTAGTTTCAAAAGTTCGAAAATCAGATGGAAGACAAGGAAGTACTCCGCGTTGTTCAACCGTTTTATATCAGGTCGAGCTAAGGCTGACAGCGAAGACCATAACAACAAGCAGAAAGCATAGAGATGGTTGAGCTAGTGCAGACAGCGTAGACCATAACAACAAGCAGAAAGCATAGAGATGGTTGAGCTAGTGCAGACAGCGTAGACCATAACAACAAGCAGAAAGCATACAGATGGCGAGCTAGTGCAGATATCAAAGATTATAACAACAAGCAGAAAGCATAGAGATGGTTGAGCTAGTGCAGACAGCGTAGACCATAAGAACAAGCAGAAAGCATAGAGATGGTTGAGCTAGTGCAGACAGCGTAGACCATAAGAACAAGCAGAAAGCATAGAGTTGCAGCTTTACTATGACCATCGAATGGGTAAAGTACTCTTGTCCACGCCCTCGGGTATGCTGGGAACAAAGAGTCTGACCTATATTTATAGGCAAACCGGCACTTGCTGGCTGATGTGGTCACATCAAACATCAAACCGGCCGCCTTTACCTACCAGGACTTTACCTGGTACCCATTTAAGGTTAGGTCAACGTGGAAGCCAAGTAATATTTTTTAAAAGTCGGCTCTGTCAGGATCTGAACTCAGAACATTCGGATCCAGAGGCGAGCGTCCAGCCGCTACACCCCATCGCCTCCCACAGTCAAACAAATAAATTTTTTTTTTACTAAGTTAACTGGAGCGGGGCAAGACAATCTGTGCAGGCACAAAATGCAGGAATGATCATGCAGCTTTATAAACAAAACACAGACATACTTGATGATGATGGTGATGATGATGATGATTATAATCATGATGTGAGGACAATGATGAGATGATGAGGATCAGTGTTATACCCCTGATAGTGGTTCTGTACAGCCTTTTTAACTAATTTGTGCGGATTTGTGGCTTTGAGATAAGTGAACTCGTATCACAATTCAATACTCGATGCTTACCAGAGCCTGATCCCCGCGGTGGGCGACTACGAAAATGAACACTCTCGTGGCTTTCCAGACACCTCACACAATACTGTAGATTACCAAGAGGTGAGGATCCATCATTACCCCACACAAGACTGCAGCATACTATGGTGTGAGGATCTATCATTACCCCACACAAGACTGCAGCATACTATGGTGTGAGGATCCATCATTACCCACACAAGACTGCAGCATACTATGAGGTGAGGATCCATCATTACCCCACACAAGACTGCAGCATACTATGAGGTGAGGATCCATCATTACCCCACACAAGACTGCAGTATACTATGAGGTGAGGATCCATCATTACCCCACACAAGACTGCAGCATACTATGAGGTGAGGATCCATCATTACCCCACACAAGACTGCAGCATACTATAAGGTGAGGATCCATCATTACCCACACAAGACTACAGCATACTATGAGGTGAGGATCTATCATTACCCCACACAAGACTGCAGCATACTATGAGGTGAGGATCTATCATTACCCCACACAAGACTGCAGCATACTATGAGGTGAGGATCTATCATTACCCCACACAAGACTGCAGCATACTATGAAGTGAGGATCTATCATTACCCACACAAGACTGCAGCATACTATGAGGTGAGGATCTATCATAACCCCACACAAGACTGCAGCATACTATGGTGTGAGGATCCATCATTACCATACACAAGACTGCAGCATACTATGAGGTGAGGATCCATCATTACCCACACAAGACTGCAGCATACTATGATCTGAGGATCCATTATTACCCACACAAGATTGCAGCTTAATATGAGATGAGATTTGATTTGATTTGATTCAAGAACCAACATCACAGCACTCGGTACATTCCCATAAGCGCTCGGTCCCCATCTTCAGCAGCCAGTGAAGAGTTCCGATGCTAATGGTACCAGTAGCAAATATGAGATGAGAATCTATCCTTACTCAAACAAGAGGTGATGTGAGAAAAATTAGAACAAAAGGAAAGAAGCCTCACAAATATTTACGATGTGAAAATGTTTAGTTCTCTTTAACATGCATTATTCAACTGTTCTAGCAAACATTATTATTATACATTAGTTTTATACAAAGTATGAGTAACCAAACAAATCATAAAATACAATTAGTAACAATAGAAATGAGATGTCTGAAAAGGGCTGCTGGAATGAAAAGAAAAGATCACATCGGAAACAAGGTCATAAGAAAAAAAAGTTGGTTCTAAATTACATAGACACTGAGAAGGTAACTCTGGCAACAAATCCCTGCAGAAGTCAGATGTGTTGCTCAAAAGCGGCAAACATCGCAGACATGTTGCAAATGGGCACAATGCACTTACATGTTCAGATAAACCCATATGAATAAGAAGAAGAAGAAGAATTTACATACAAAGACAACAGATCAAGTGTTGTGCCCACTTAGGGATAATGCTCTGTGACACCATACAATACCAGGCATACGCGAAAAGAGGAGAAAAACGTAGAGCGCAAGGTAGAACTAGAAGAAGATGGAAAGATAACATCAAAGAAAATAATTACCCAGCCTAATATTGTTACTAAACAGGAAAAGAACTGATTGCCCACATCAGAAGGGGCCAGTCTATATTCTATGTTCATGTGACCTGTAGGAGAAAACTGGGGTATATCGTGACAGTGGGAAAGTTGGAGAGGATAAGAGGCAGAGGGCGACAAGACAGCAGATGCTGGACAGTCTTACATCATGCCATGGAGGATCATTTGTGACAGAAATGATTGAAAGTACACGAGACAGAAGGCTGTGGGTAGACATGACTACCAGCTCTACATATCATGGATTATAAAAAAAAGATTTTTGGGAAGTAAAGGTGGTCAGCCAGATGTTCATTACTTCACCCATGGAGTACCAAATGGTCTATCAAACATGAGTGTAGCAACATATGCCAGATAGGCCACAAGCATGAAAAAGCTCCTTAACTTTTATACAGTATAATTATTTCAGTATTAAGTCTCGATCAGTAAATTTAACATTCTGTTCTAGAACCCTCCTGGCCACTTTGGTTCCAAGTGTGTTGTATTTGCTGGTGACAAAATGCTCCAGCTCTTCTTCCCGTATCTCTCTGGGGACAAAAACAACAACCACAAAACATTAGCAAAATTAGAATAATCTGAATTTGTAAAGCTGTAGTGATTTGTATTATGTAAACCTGCCGTGAATGCTTGTTAAAAAACAAAAATGATCATGAGTAACCTATACTTTCCCCATAAAGTTTGCCAGTTGTCCCTGAGCCTTTCTCTCCATAAAACATGCTCCCAAAATCTTTCTTCTGTTTATATATAATCATCATCATGTGCTTTTCATCATGGTGTAGGTTCTTATATCTCCAGAGATTTCAGTCCTTGGTGTTTTGGATCAAATTAAATAGAAAAGTCCTCTTAAACTGTCATCTGCTTCTTGATGGCTCTTCACATTTGTTTGTCTTTTGTTCTAGAGTATTTTTAGAATATGCTCAGTAAATCATTAATGGCTCCTGAAAAAAGGTGTCGGAGCATGAGTGGGTATGTCCTGAGTGCATTAATGTCAATTCTTGATTGACTGGTTGATTGATTGATTGATTCATTCATTCATGTTAAATGTTAAAGATACAGTAAAAAATGCTATTCTTCCATTACGTTCAGGCCTTGGCCTTGTTATATAATGGTAAGGTGTTGTGAAATAACAACCTGTTTTGTCAATTGCTTAAGGACAGCAGGGACAAGAGACCCACTTTCTCTCACCCGACTGGGTCCAGAGGCCTCATTTTAAAGGGGTCGATAGGTCTATTTGTTTGGGACCTCAGAACCCACATAAAGATTGACCAAAGACAACAAATTAAATAAAACTGACCTTGCCAATGGCCCATTAATACCAACAGGTGCATTACACTTGGGCAACTTGTTGCCGAGTGGAAAGTTGTCACTGAAATGGACAACAATATTTTAAGTTAAACTTCAACACAGCAAATTTTTTAGGAGAAAGAGAAAAGCATTTTGATAATTCCTCATGTGATCAATTCATCGGGAGCTGTCGTTGTGTAGCAGCTAGACATTCACCTCTAAGGTCGCAGGTTCGAATCCAAATGGAAACAAACTATAAAAAAAATGAATTTGGCTCACAAGTTGACCCAGCAGTCCTGGGAAGTAAATGCAGCCGGCATGATGTTGACCAAATCATCCACCAAGTGCTAACTGATCTAAAAAAAGTATAGGTCTAGCCCTATATGCCCAATTCTCTTGAAGGCATGGAACAGGGTCCATTACTTTTGCATCAAGCCATGTGGGCATAAGAAACTGCCACGCACCTGCCCCTAGCTATAAGAGCTGTTAAACTTAACACATCGTAGTGAATGCAGACATGCAATATTCCTTCTTTACTTCTGTTTTCCCCTCTCCTGTCTTCTGCTTCTGGCATTTCCAGGCTGGATTCAAGACTTCATCCCTGAGATGTGCGTAAAATATTAAACTCTTGTGTCGAGTGCGGCAACATAGGGCCAGACTCTCCATGCATGGCGGTTCGTTGTTGTAGGTCTTGGAAATTCATGAGCGATCCTTCGTAGGGTTTACCCTTGGTCTTCTTACAAATCTGTCAAAACAAGTCTTGATTTTTCTAAGGGCGTTGCTCCAGCGGCGTTTTTCGTATAAAATTAGACACATACTCTGCATTTGCCTTATTTGTGTTTGGTTCGGAAATGACCATTTGAAAAAATCCCATTTTCCAAAATGTCTAAGTTCTAGAGTTTTCATTCCAGCTCTCGCATCCTATGGAATCACACAAGAATTGAAGATCTTCTGTGTTTCAGAACTTGAAATCATATATGTAAATAGGTCTAGATTTGGCTTATATAATGTTTGTCAGCCCATGTAATGCCATAAATTTGCGTTATATTATGCACTTTGCGCATGACCCAGTCGATATTGCTATACCACAAAGCATCGGGCGATAGGTACACAGCCTTGCTTCACTCCTGTTTATATGGCATTTCTGGAGTCGATGGATTTTTTTCTTGGGAATCAGCTTTCTGTTTAGTTCACACAACGAAGTAGGTCTTCCACATATATATACTTAATATCAGAGTGATGGTTACCCGATAGGTCTCTCAGACAGATCAGATGCACTCTGCCCTGGAAGGAACCACACCTGATTGTTTGACCTTTAGAACATGCATGTTAGGGAGGCAGTGGCATTAATTCTGTTCCCATCCACAATGGGGCAGCAGACCCTCCCAGAGAAACAAGCTTTAATTAGGTACCTATAATGGCTACCCAAGCCTGGCTAGCTTGCAGTCCTGTTTGGGTGAGCATCATCGTGACATGCAGTATATCCAGGGTACCAACTTTATACTAAGCAGATAATACTGTACACATGCAGTCAGCCCTGTCATGTACCCCTAAATGAGACAGACCCCCTCACATTATTCCAAAGCATATCCTTCAGATCAAAGTCTTGCCCCTGGAAAGTTCAACAATAGTTCTCACCACAGGGTTTCACACTGAACTGGACTATGTATGAAGTACATAAGAAAGACTTTCAACAGATATAAGACTGTATCCAGAAAACACTGAATTTGAAGATAAAAGCAGAGCAATGCAGAAGAATTTTAAAAAGATTAGGAAGAATAGAGAGAAAGATCTAAATAGAGTTTAATGAATCCTGACAGAGCAGAGGCACTGCACATTGCGGATGACATTGTTCTTTGGTCCAACCTTTGACATCAAAATAAATAAAACACACATGATGGTGGTCCCAACAATTTGATCCAAAAAATTAATAAGGGGGAGACAAAGTATGAGAATTAATCAAGCAAACAATAAGCAAATCTCTTATAGTGAAAGCTTACTGCCACAAATGGTATCATATACTGGATTATCCCTATGTGGCTTCCTGCGACCCATTTTGAGGGGGACAAGAAAATAGACCAAATAAGCCCTAGGTCCAGTTTAAATGTAATATATAAAACTGTATTTATCTGTAAACCATACTAGCTCGAGGTCGATTTGGTTGTAATATTTTAGGCCAAACTGTGGGCCAATATAAGTTACATGAAATAAACTAAGAGTTAATAAACAGCAACACTAGAATAAGGATTCAACAACTACAAGAATGATTAGATAATGTATTGTATATTTCTCATATACACTTCTGCTTGGAGTTTTGGCTCTTTTTGATGCATCAATTTATGGCTGTGACATATAGCTATGAAATCTGTAAATTTAGATACTTGGCATTGCACTTAGTCTGGCAAGGAAAACCCAGCAAGATCTCAAAATGGAACTTATTACGAATGACAGTCCAGTCATGTCAGACTTCTGGGGCATTGCCAGGTAATGTCTGCTGCAGCAAAGTCAAATTTAAATGTGATCACCTATTTCTATTTTAAAAATTAAAACATACAAATGATGAAAATAGAAATGATCACTTCACATGATGTGGCTTAGATTATTTCACATATTTAATTATTTATTTATTTCTGCACGTCTGTATGGTAATATGTCAACATTTCTTAACTATTATAAAGCTCACATGCTGTGAATAGAATTTACTGTCTTTTAAAAATTATACTTGTTGTTTTCCACCAAATATATTGTTTTATGTTTGGAAATCAAAATCTACAAGTGTGTTTCATAAAATGTTTATATATATAACACCAAAAAACGGCAGTGTGTTCATTCTAATATTTGCAAGCAGAGCTATCTGGTAGTCTAACTGAGATGAGTCTAATTCTATCAACATTGTAAAAGTGACGTCATTTCCTGAACCAAAATCAGCTTCATAACAAAAACCATGAAATGTACTGTACTGTATTGGTAAAGGATTAATGAATAAACAAACTGATGGCAAATAATGTAAATGTAGTTACAGAGAACTAGAATAATATCATGGCAGAAGAAAAACAAAGAAGTGTTACCCCCCCCCCCCCCCCACAGCCACCAAACACACACACACACACTCACACACAGAACTGAAATGTGTGGGTGGGGGGGGGGGGGAGAAGGTTATCTGAAATTCCCAAGGTCCTGAACCATCTTGCAATTTGAGTTAGTAACGTGAATGTGAGTGAGTGAGTGAGTGAGTGAGTGAGTGAGTGAGTGAGTGAGTGAGTGAGTGAGTGAGTGAGTGAGTGAGCGAGCGAGTGAGTGAGCAAGTGAGTGAGTGAGTGAGTGAGTGAGTGAGTGAGTGAGTGAGTGAGTGAGTGAGTGAGTGAGCGAGTGAGTGAGTGAGTGAGTGAGTGAGTGAGTGAGTGAGTGAGTGAGCGAGTGAGTGAGTGAGTGAGTGAGTGAGTGAGTGAGTGAGTGAGTGAGTTGGTGAGTAAGTAAAAAGTATAATAAGTGTTTTTCTAAGAAAGGCACACACACAAAATGTTCTGTATTTAATGTCTAATATGATCACTCATAAATGTGGATTTTACAGATGAGTTCTGTGAATTCCTTAGACATTCAATGAGAGCAACTCAGATGTTTGGAAAACAGGAGAGGACATGAAGAAAATATACCAAAAACATCAAATAAAAACGGTTATGGTGTTAAGGTGATATTATAAGACAATGGAAACTGTTGTGACCACTGGAAAGATCTGTGAAAAAAGAGACAGTGGAAGACAATGTGAGAAGATTCTTGACAGTCTTTTGTCCTGGCATGGAGGGGTGTCAGCATACAAACTGATAGGCTACAAGCTGTTGAAGATCAGAGATTGTGGAGAGACATGATCGCCGACGCCAGTTGGCAAGGCGCTTGATGATGATGATAAAGCTTAATTCACCAATTTCTAGTATCCAGGAATGGGGACTGACGCTACTTGAATGTGTGAATGTATATCTGTGTTTGTGTGATTTATGTGTGGGTATATATTTATATTTAAAAGTGTTTGTGTGTGTGAGTGTCTGTGTGTGAGCACGCGTGCGCACGCATGTGATGTATGTGTATGTGTGTGTGCAAGTATGTATGTGCATGTGCACACACAGGCATGTGTTTGTGCATATACACTTACTCATTAATAAAATTATCTGCAGGTAGAAAAAAAAGAAGCCCCAAATCTATTAACTAAAAAAACTGTTCGCAACATAATTGCAAGTCAAATACAAAAATATTATAATATGATTAATAACCTAAAGTCAGATCAGAATTGGCTATTATAAAAATCAAACAATAAATTAAAGTTAAATCAAAATAAACAATTAAAGGAAATGTCCAAAAATGACACAAAATTGTTAAAAATATTAAGAAACAAAAAAAGACAATAATGATCATGTGACCACTGACCCTTCTGTTATTGTTGATGATCCATCATCCCTGAAAAATTGTTAGGATTAAATCATTGTTCTAGTTATTTTGTAATGGAGAAGTGAAGGAAACTGTTCCAGGTCTTGAGGTATTTGAAGTATACACTGCAAGTTCTCTGTCTGTGTAGACTCGACTCAGCACGCGACACGCGAAGCTCGTAGTTTTATGTCAGTTGGCACACATCTTCCAGATTTCATTGCACCAAATTTCATCATCATCATGTGCTGTGCGGATAAGCATATGCTGTCATTTTGTGCCATCCTCCATTTCGCAAAATCATGGATCAGGTCAATGTTCTTGTCTCGTGACATCCTTGTAGCTGAGCCATCAAGGTATTTATCTCTTTGCCTTCCTGTTGTTCTTCATCCCTCAATCTTGTCAGTGGTTGACAATTTCTACAGTTTTTTTTTTCTCATAACATGTCTGACAAACACTGATCGTTCACATCTCATCTGTTTAATCAGTTTATGACTTGTATCTATCAAATGGAGGGTCAGCTTGTGTGTTTTCCCATCATTCCATGGCTTTATTTGCATTCCTCCTCAAAACCATATCCCCCAAGTGAGCATATTTGAGTCTGGGTAAACATGAGGGCCTGCATTCATTTACAAAACATCCCCACCAGGAGGGGGATTCGAACACATAACAGTCAGGCTGGCAGGCAAGCATGATGGCTGAAGCTCTCAAAATGCAATTTCACTAAACACACCCTAAATTAACCCTCTAAATTAAACTGTGTTATAACAAAACACATATACTCATATCTTTAAGGTAACCAAACTGACTGGCTGTCTCATCCCACTGAAAAACTGTGGCTACCAAATCCCAAACAAAGATGAATATTGCCACAAAGGACTTTAAGAGCAAAAAGTGTGAAGGGTCTGTTTTTCAGTTAAAGATAAAAGACAAAAGAAGAAAATGAAGACAATCCCTCAGCCATGCTGAACTACTGATGTACCAGAGTCAGGCATTTATACCAGTCAACACCTTTCTAAACCTAAATGTGAAACATCCTGAGCAGATATGTGTCAGTAAATCTGTTCAGTTGCCACCAGGCTGCTATCTGCAGTTAACCACCCTGGATCTCATCCTGGATGGCAAACCAAAAGGACAAGTCCCAGATATCCTGTTCAACCTCTAAAAGGGTTATAAATAGGGCACCTGCTTAAAGCTACACTAAGTACTACCTGAAGTATCCTGCAGACCTGTGTGAGTAAGGGATGATAAAATAAAAAGTGTATATCTTTGGTCTTTGCTGTGATAAGAGTTGCAGGGACCTCAACTGTACTTGCTGCAAGGCCACCAGTGTCACAGTGTTTCCTCATCTGAGTCAGCACCTTAATCAAATACTCACAACTCAGGAAAACTCCGAAACGTGCTGGGGCTGAAAGTCTTGATTACCTGCCAGAATCTGGGATTTGCCCTGTTGGTCTGCCATCCAGTATGCTGTATGGCCTGAATGTCACATAGAACTGGCTCATAAAAAGCATCCTGTTTCCGAAAGCTGATGTATTGTGGTCATGTTAAGTGCCACAAGATAATGGTGATGGAGGGCGAAGTTTCTGGAAAATGAGGCAGAGGCCAAGTTTCACAAAGGGGGATATAAGACACTTAAGATGCTTTAGCCATGAAAGCACATAGGGTTGGAGAACTGGCTGGAGAAAGAAAGACTTTCAGGAGTGCCGTGATGAGAGCCATGTTCTGTAAAGCTGAATGATGATGGTCTGACATCCAGTTTGAGATTTTGTAATCTCACTGTGTCACCCTTCAAGTAGCAGCCCAGAAGGGACAAAACAAAATGGAAGGATGAAAGTACTTTTCCATCTCTGATTTACCAGGATTTGATTTCCACAATGAACAGTTTAGAAAAGACTTGTCTCAGGGACTTCAGAACAGTGGTATGACAGGCCTACCATCTAGGAGATCGGGGCTTGACTATAAAAAGTGTGAATGGACCTACTGACAAGCAATACACCAACACATGTGGGAAGATGCATGGACAAAGCAGATATCACCACTGCTGTATGGATCAGTTTAGTGGATAACAAAGAATTTCTGACACTAACATGACTGTGTTACATGAGAGTAAAGTATAATGAAGCATGTCTCGGCCGCCTTCGAGGCAGAGATAGAAGACATTATAACCACATCCTCAAAGGAACAATCAGTAGAGGTCTGAAGTGGCTACTGCATTGAAGGACTGAGCACCCATGGGAATGCCCAATGTACAGAGATGTTGATTGCGATAACATAATATAACTATGAAATGTTCCCAAAGACAGCAGTGGATTCATACATCTGCTTCTGAATTCTGAGATGTCATCTTTTGTTCCACAACTAAATGAATAAATTATAAAATAAACAACAAACATGCACATTTCATATCTCCATAGAGATATCTTACAGTACATTAATTCAAGAAGTGAAACATGGGAAGAACAAAGGGTGGTAGGAGTTGGGGGGGGGGGGGGGGGGGAGACTGTATGGGACAAGATCTCAAATTAAAAAAAAAAAAGAAAGACAGAAATATGTTCAGTTGTTTCAATGTGTTCCAGCTTTCTGTCACTTTAAAGTTCTCAAAGGTTATAAATATTTAATTCCACACTGAAATATCTACATTATACAACACACATACACACACAATACTCACATCACACTTCTCTTATCACTTTGTAGATTTGAACCAATCATTGGAAACTGGGCTGTGATCATCTCTGGTGTCAAACCAAGAGGAGTCTCCTCATCACTGCAGGAAATAAATACATCAGAAAAGTAGAACATCCTTGGAGCAGTTTAGAATGTAACATTAGTTAGTTAGTTATTCCTCTTGTGCCAAAGATGGCGCATAGGGCAGAGGTCATAGCTTTCCACGTCTGTCGGTTCTTTGCCACTTGATGTAGGTCTTGAGTGCGAATGAGACCTATGGTTGAGCTCTCCCTTGTGATGGTTCTACGGAGAGTTTCTTTTGGTCTTCCCTGTTTTCTTTTACCCTCTGGTGACCATATGAAGGCTTGGTGGGGAAGTCTCTGTATGTCCATTCTGAGTACGTGACCGATGTAATTCCAGCGACGCATTCTAATAAAATCAGACACATATTTTTGTTTTGTTTCCTGTCTTATAGATGTATTGGACCTAAAGTCCGACCAGTGAACATTCAATAGCTTTCGGAGGCATCTATTCTCGAAAGCGACTAGTTTCTTATCGATTGATACTGATGATTTCCAACTCTCACAACCATAAGTTGTAACATGTAAGAATGTAACATATTAACTGAAAAACTTACAAGTAAAACATGAATGAGCAGAGCAAGTCAATCATCTATGCTGAATTATGGGAATACCATAGGCAACTACAACTAAGTCTACTGACAGAGCCAACTGGCTAAATATGACTACAAATATTATGAACAGCCTAGACGAGAGAAATGGAGTTACAGTTATGTCTACTGACAGAGCCAACTGGCTAAATATGACTACAAATATTATGAATAGCTTTGATTATAAAACGGATTTATAATTTTGTGAATGTGTAAAATATAAATGTTATTATGATACAAGAGAAATAAATAGTTAAGAAACACCTGGGGCCAAAGAAACAATATGATAAACAGTTTAACAGGTATTGGTTGGCACTCACGAAAGAAGCAGAGACAGGGGAAGAATCTGTTCATCCTTCTAAAATACAAGTGGAGAGACTAAACAATGATGACAAACCCTACATACCTATCAACACAGTTCTCTGCATCTTCCGGATCTATTCTGCCCAGTAATGGTGGCACATCTTCAGGAAGTATGTCTTTACCAAAACAATTGCTCCTGGAAATAAATAAAAATATACATGTAATCGTGTGCAACTACTGATCTGTTGTAACTGCTGCTTCCATCAACGCTGAACTGCATTTCTGGTGTCGGATCGTTTGTGCACTTCTGATTGCCGCTTTATGCACTTAATGTGTGCTTGTGCTGTTAAATTTGCTAAGACTGTACGTTGTCCATTTGTTTGATAATGGACGGGGATAGACGTTCTATATGGTTTTTGCTCAGGGACTGTGTGGTCTCGAGGCATGTTGTCTGTGTTGAGTGTTATAGGTTCTGGGTTTTATCCCCGGTAAGAACTGGGATTTTTTCATGCAGACCTGGACTTCTAGTATTTCTCGCTGATCTCTGGGTAGTGAGATCAGATGCTCGTGTGCATTGTTGGGCACGTAAAAAATCCCTTGGCAGTTAGAAATAGAACTGTTGATGCTGTTGGCAAAATTTAGAATTAAAAATCCACCCATAGTATTTCAGGATCCTCGTCGGTGATACAAAGCCTATGCAGTGTATTGAGATTCTTCGGACTCAGGTTTGCCATTATGGATCCGTCATCTAAACCTAACAAAATGTCATGTGATGGTTTCATCTGTCCATAGCTTTTAATTCAGGACGTGTCGATCATTTCTGACACAGACGTTTCTCTTTATTGCTCTTCCCTGCCTCTCTGTTCTCCAACTCGTTTACTGTCATGAAGGGAAGAATATTAATTTTCTCTTTCTTTGACAAACACACAAAATATGGGTTGTTTTGTTTTAATAATGATAATCAATATTCTGGGTAAGTTCATATTTTTAAAGACATCTTTATTCAGCAAAACTACAGTAATTTCTTCTTCTTCTGTATACACCCTCAAAATGACCATTCAGCAAACTGTGGTGTGGTTGTACAGCTAGGCTGTGATATATATGCCTTTCGGCCTAACACATCTGAATTCAGCAAACTGTGGTGTGGTTGTACAGCTAGGCTGTGATATATATGCCTTTCGGCCTAACACATCTGAATTCAGCAAACTGTGGTGTGGTTGTACAGCTAGGCTGTAATATATATGCCTTTCGGCCTAACACATCTGAATTCAGCAAACTGTGGTGTGGTTGTACAGCTAGGCTGTGATATATATGCCTTTCGGCCTAACACATCTGAATTCAGCAAATCCTTAACATGGCAATCTTGGTAATCTGGTAATCTTAGTTTCAGCTTCATAGCAAACGAGTCACCCCATAGTTGCTCCCCTGCTGTGCCAACGAAAAACACACAGAATGTTCGTCCCAGTCCCTTGTGGAAAGATTGACAGACTGCCGTCTCAGCATATGCACTAGCATACACACGCATTAAAAGCATACGGTAGCCATCAGAAGTGCTAACACAAACAGTTTGACATTAGAAATGCAGTTCATCAACGAGGGTAGCAGAAGTAGCCAACAGATCAGTAGTTGCGCATGAGATGAATATTAATCACATAAGGGCACCACCAATATTGCGGCCACAGACCAGAGGCCATTTTCTGAATCTACATTTCACAACACCACGTTGGTCACAGTCAAAAAACATTCCAAATGAAATCTACAGCACACAGGGTCGTGCTATGCATTCAACTCAGTAGCTGGCGCGACGAAACTATCCTTTCAGTCTACAAATGGATCAAAAATGCAACGGCCACCGTCTGGCAGAAGCAAAAAATTTGCCTCTACAGTAACCCCGCCTGGCATCCATTTTGACGGGAATTGGTGGAGTTCTTAACATACAGTCTGGATAACTTTTGAAATGCTTGTTAGAGGGTAGTTATTGGGTCTACCCCCCCCCCCCCCCCCCAGGCCCTCAAAAACAATTACACTCCAAGAATTTATACAGGAAACTAAGTAATAAAAGAGGACACTCACCACCTGGGGACCCAGACGTTGGTCAAGGTTGGAATGTTTGACATTGAGATTATTCCTGGAGAAGGAAACCGCTTCCAGGTCATGACCCCTCGGATTGTTTCCTGTCGAAGAAAGCACAGAATATATTATAAAACAAATGTTTGTAAATCTTATTTAGTAAGGGGTAAGGGGAAAAAAGCTATAAAATGGATGTAAGGTAAAGTAGAGGACTCTTTTCCACGCCTTCAGACACACTGGGCATATAGGGCTAGACTGATATTTTATAGACAAATCAGCATTTGATGGGTCATGTGGTCTGTATCACTCCGGTTGCCTTTACTTTCCAGGAGTGCAGCTGGTACCCACTCAAGGCTGGGCTGACCTGGGAGCCAAGGTCACTTGTGAAAAAAAAAAACGTCTGGCTCCACCAGGACCTGAACCCAGGAAGTTCCCATCTGCAGGCGAGCCTCTAGTCACTACACCACAGGGACTGACATTTTCTATCCCTCTTAATTATCCCTTGAAAAAAATCATGTTTAGATCTTTAAGGAGAATGCATTTACTTTATCCCACTTCAAGTAACACGTGATTTGTGATTGGCTTTTTTTTTAATGAATCCTCACTATAGCACATTGTGTTCTTTACATTTGTTGTTGTTAAGAGCCTACTACTAAAGTGTATCTCCTCAAGTAGACATTTCCACAATATATTTAGCTTTTTGAAAGTCATTTACCGTGTCTATTTACCCTGTTAACACCTGAAAACCCTAGGATTGAAACTGCAAAGGGAACTTAAGAAGAAAACTGGCTCTCACAAAAAATTTGAAGAAGTCATCTTCAAGCACAAGCCAGCAGGTGCCATCATCATCTATACAGATAGCTCAGTAATTTGTAGGGTACCGTCTGAGTGGGCACACACTCCACAGATGAATGAAAGACAGTAAAAGAATACAATCAGGCATTCACTACAACTACTTCAGGCATGATGATCAAGATAGCAGCTGTTCCAGGGCAAGTACATGGCTACAGAACATGAAAAAACTCACATACTGACAGTGACAGACTCAATGACCATGCTTAACTCTTTGAGTCCCAGGGAACGTATCACTCGCTAATTTGTTTCAACAGCGCGGCCCAATCAATGCGTGACAAGTGAAGGTTTTTAATCGACCAGTGACCGGTTGTAAAACGCTGACCGCTCAATTTCAACTTCCTTTCCAGTTCTTTGTGTCTGATATCAGGCATGCTCATTTAGAAATGTGGTTTGAAAGCCGAAAATATAGTATATTTTGAGATTTGCCTATTAATAAATGTTTGTTTGAAAATAATATGGCCGCCAAGCAAAATTCTACATTCATGCAAACATGATTTGTGGCTTCAGAAGCCTCAAAATTAAATAAAGTAGGTGTTTTTTTAGATTTATCCATGTTAGATAGATAACGTTGCAAATTATACATATTTCAGTCATTTATAGTCAAACTTTGATGAGGGATATGTCTAATGTGTCCCTCACGTGAAGGGTACAACGATAGCAAAGTCAGCTGGCACAAATAGAATTAACATTAGTGAAAAGACAATTTTCTTCAATGTCAGTTAATTCTAGTGTTATTCTCCTTATTATTTAGGAACACAGCTACAAACTTACAGGCAAATTGAGTGTTATACAAACTGTGTTTTGTGTGAAGATACTTATTGCTTTGGGAGTCAGTTTTTCTCAACCAAATAATGGTGCTCTGTTATGATGCTTCAAAAGATTCTTTGGAACAAAATCTAATGTACAGACTGAGTTTATATTTTACTTATGCATTACTAAGTGGTTCATATTCATTTGTGATTCATTTTAGATATATTTTAACCATTTTTCCTTGAGTGCCATGGTGGTAAGTGGAAAATTTTTTATTTTATTTTACTAATTTTTGTAAACATACCGTCTGTTTATTTACTAATATTTAATTACTAACCAAATTATTTGTTGTAGTTATATTCTATAACTATTCATCAACAATCCCTGGTCACTTTGATGTATAATACGTGCATACTGTGCGGCAATTGGATTAGTATGGTTTGTTTTAATGTGTTACACTTGTGAAATAAAGAATTGCATTACCACCCCTTTGGCCTCTGATGCTAAACCCTCTGGGACTCAAAGAGTTAACTCTTTGAGTCTCAAGAAATGCATCATATGTTCATAGCTTTCTACCTAGAAGCCTAATTAACACACGATGCACTGATTTTACGTCTCTCTTGACTACCAGTTGGCCTGAGATGCTAAATCCCCTGGGACTCAAAGAGTTAAGAAGATTCAAACTGGCAAACTAGAATGTGCTGACAGCATCCTGAAGCCTTGCCTCAAGAAACTATCATGGCTGTACACAACGGGTCTTGCCAGGTTGACAGGAAATGAAAAAGCCAAACAAAACTGGCTGTGTCTGCAGTGAAAGGAGAAGCAAGGACATGACAGACATAGTGAATGCACTGGATTCCATAGACCTTGAGATAAAAGAGTCAAGAGACGATGAACTGCCTGTTGGATATGGGTATTCAATGAGGTCAAGCTTGCAGAAACTGGTTGCGGGGCAAAGAAAAGAGGTATGCCAATCAACTCCTGTTTGGCATGGTACCCATGGAGATACAAAGATAGCTGCTGTATCAGAGGATGGAGGCCGAGTGGGTCAAACCAACGTGCTCATATATTGATAGGATTTTTAAAAAAATTATAAGTAATACAAATAAATAAAAAGACAATCAGAAAAGATGCCTTTCCTGAACAAAAAGTCTCTCTCAAAAGTATTGTACAAAACAGAAAAGAGTCAAGAAATATCTGACCATTTCATAATCATGAAGAATAAAAAAAAGATTTCAGGACTTAAATGTTACAGAAACATTTTCAGAATATTATGGATCAAGAAGAAAAAAAATCCTGACATTCTTTAAAAATGTGAACATCAAAGGAAACTGGCTCGTCTATTTCTTCTTTACATTGGCTTCTTCTTCACTTCATCTTTTCCTGCTTTGGCTGTTGAGGGACACATGAGTTCTGCTTCTTGCTGTTTTGGCTGTTGAGGGACACATGAGTTCTGCTTCTTGCTGTTTTGGCTGTTGAGGGACACATGATTTCTGCTTCTTGCTGTTTTGGCTGTTGAGGGACACATGAGTTCTGCTTCTTGATGTTCTGGCTGTTAAGTGACACATGAGTTCTGCTTCTTGCTGTTTTGGCTGTTGAGGGACACATGATTTCTGCTTCTTGCTGTTGTGGCTGCTGAGTGACACATCAGTTCTGCTTCTTGCTGTTGAGTGACACATGAGTTCTGCTTCTTGCTGTTATGGCTGTTGAGGGACACATGAGTTCTGCTTCTTGCTGTTCTGGCTGTTGAGGGACACATGATTTCTGCTTCTTGATGTTCTGGCTGTGTAGGGACACATGAGTTCTGCTTCATGCTGTTATAGCTGTTGAGGTACTCATGAGTTCTGCTTGTTGCTGTTCTGGCTGCCTCAACAATAGACATATCATACTGTTGTAGAGTTCTCTGATGTTAGTTCTCTGTCCCCTTTATATGTGCTTTTAATCTGCATATCTTCTGTCCTTAATTAAGATGTATTTATCAATGAAGGAAGAGTGCATCTACCTGAGAGGCAAAGAACCAGCAGTCTGCATATGAATGAGTCAGATCTGTAAAACACGCAACACTCAGGTTCTGGAACAGGACTGCAGTCCAAAAGTGAATGAACAACCACAACTTTCCACCAGAGTTTACAGCTGGTGAATGCGAAGAAGAAGAGGAAGAAGATTAAATTTTTCTGCATAAACTACTGCCCCATACAATTCTTGCAAGCTTCCGAGTTTGAAACCTAGGTTAACTTCATCTGACCAGAGAATAAACCTTTTTTAGCTCAGCTTGTAAATGTCGAAATGTATATTTTGTAGTTTGAAATTCTTGTAGTAATAACTCCCAGGGTAGAAGATGAAAGAATAAACAAGACAGTAATATCTCTAATGACAATGACGGAAGAAAACTTACCGCCATATTCATGCTGCAAAGTAAAAGAGTAAATGCTGAATGAATTACTAAATTTAAATGAAATATTAGACGTGTCAATGACAAAAAATAAATTAATGCAAACAGTGTAACTCTTATTACTGTTATTTTTTTTTTAAATATAAAATGCAAAGTACCTCTCTGTGTAAAAATTTCTTCTGTGTAGGTGCAGGTTTGTTGAAAGTCTGATCCAGAGTATATTGTCTGGGCAGAGGGCACAGATGGTAGTCAGCATCAACTTCTGAATATGGCAACAGAGGCAGAAATGTCTGAAGACCTGGTGCTGGATTCTGAAATTTATAAAGATTTGAAAAGTAAATGTCAGCACATCCCAGATGTGAAATATGATTTATTTTCTATTTGTTCATTATTTAAATCTATTAACAGAGAATCACCAGACAGAGAATCATTAAACAGAGAATCACCAAACAGAGAATCACCAGACAGAGAATCATTAAACAGAGAATCACCAAACAGAGAATCATTAAACAGAGAATCACCAAACAGAGAATCATTAAACAGAGAATCACCAAACAGAGAATCATTAAACAGAGAATCACCAAACAGAGAATCATTAGACAGAAAATCACCAAACAGAGAATCACCAAACAGAGAATCATTAAACAGAGAATCACCAAACAGAGAATCACCAAACAGAGAATCATTAGACAGAGAATCACCAGACAGAGAATCATTAAACAGAGAATCACCAAACAGAGAATCATTAAACAGAGAATCACCAAACAGAGAATCATTAAACAGAGAATCACCAAACAGAGAATCATTAAACAGAGAATCACCAAACAGAGAATCATTAAACAGAGAATCATTAAACAGAGAATCATTAAACAGAGAATCATTAAACAGAGAATCACCAGACAGAGAATCATTAAACAGAGAATCACCAAACAGAGAATCATTAAACAGAGAATCACCAAACAGAGAATCATTAGACAGAGAATCACCAAACAGAGAATCGCCAAACAGAGAATCATTAAACAGAGAATCACAAAACAGAGAATCACCAAACAGAGAATCATTAGACAGAGAATCACCAAACAGAGAATCACCAAACAGAGAATCACCAGACAGAGAATCATTAAACAGAGAATCACCAGACAGAGAATCATTAAACAGAGAATCACCAAACAGAGAATCATTAAACAGAGAATCATTAGACAGAGAATCACCAGACAGAGAATCATTAAACAGAGAATCATTAAACAGAGAATCATTAAACAGAGAATCATTAAACAGAGAATCATTAAACAGAGAATCATTAAACAGAGAATCATTAAACAGAGAATCATTAAACAGAGAATCATTAAACAGAGAATCATTAAACAGAGAATCATTAAACAGAGAATCATTAAACAGAGAATCATTAAACAGAGAATCATTAAACAGAGAATCATTAAACAGAGAATCATTAAACAGAGAATCACCAGACAGAGAATCATTAAACAGAGAATCACCAAACAGAGAATCATTAAACAGAGAATCATTAAACAGAGAATCACCAGACAGAGAATCATTAAACAGAGAATCATTAAACAGAGAATCACCAGACAGAGAATCATTAAACAGAGAATCACCAAACAGAGAATCATTAAACAGAGAATCATTAAACAGAGAATCATTAAACAGAGAATCACCAGACAGAGAATCATTAAACAGAGAATCACCAGACAGAGAATCATTAAACAGAGAATCATTAAACAGAGAATCACCAGACAGAGAATCATTAAACAGAGAATCACCAAACAGAGAATCATTAAACAGAGAATCATTAAACAGAGAATCATTAAACAGAGAATCATTAAACAGAGAATCATTAAACAGAGAATCACCAAACAGAGAATCATTAAACAGAGAATCATTAAACAGAGAATCATTAAACAGAGAATCATTAAACAGAGAATCACCAAACAGAGAATCACCAAACAGAGAATCATTAAACAGAGAATCATTAAACAGAGAATCATTAAACAGAGTATCATTAAACAGAGAATCACCAGACAGAGAATCATTAAACAGAGAATCACCAGACAGAGAATCATTAAACAGAGAATCATTAAACAGAGAATCACCAGACAGAGAATCATTAAACAGAGAATCACCAAACAGAGAATCATTAAACAGAGAATCATTAAACAGAGAATCATTAAACAGAGAATCATTAAACAGAGAATCATTAAACAGAGAATCACCAAACAGAGAATCATTAAACAGAGAATCATTAAACAGAGAATCATTAAACAGAGAATCATTAGACAGAGAATCACCAGACAGAGAATCATTAAACAGAGAATCACCAAACAGAGAATCATTAAACAGAGAATCACCAAACAGAGAATCATTAAACAGAGAATCACCAAACAGAGAATCATTAAACAGAGAATCACCAAACAGAGAATCATTAAACAGAGAATCACCAAACAGAGAATCATTAGACAGAGAATCACCAAACAGAGAATCACCAAACAGAGAATCATTAAACAGAGAATCACCAAACAGAGAATCACCAAACAGAGAATCATTAGACAGAGAATCACCAAACAGAGAATCACCAAACAGAGAATCATTAGACAGAGAATCACCAAACAGAGAATCACCAAACAGAGAATCATTAGACAGAGAATCACCAAACAGAGAATCACCAAACAGAGAATCATTAGACAGAGAATCACCAAACAGAGAATCATTAGACAGAGAATCACCAAACAGAGAATCATTAGACAGAGAATCACCAAACAGAGAATCACCAAACAGAGAATCATTAGACAGAGAATCATTAGACAGAGAATCATTAGACAGAGAATCACCAAACAGAGAATCACCAAACAGAGAATCATTAGACAGAGAATCATTAGACAGAGAATCATTAGACAGAGAATCATTAAACAGAGAATCACCAAACAGAGAATCATTAGACAGAGAATCATTAGACAGAGAATCATTAGACAGAGAATCATTAGACAGAGAATCACCAAACAGAGAATCACCAAACAGAGAATCATTAGACAGAGAATCATTAGACAGAGAATCATTAGACAGAGAATCATTAAACAGAGAATCACCAAACAGAGAATCACCAAACAGAGAATCACCAGACAGAGAATGACATGGAAAACAAAGGGACCAAGGAACCCTGAAACAAACATTAATGAAAGAGGTCAAGGCTGCTAGACTGAAGAATGGTGGATGGCATAGGCCCTAAGGACATCCTCTAAGGTGATTTACATCTGGGTAGAAAATGTCGAGGTCGACCTCTACGATGATATAAAGACGTGTGCAAGCTGGTCATGAATGGTGCAGATTCGTTACAAACAAAATGACATGGACCTTGTTGCGTCAAGGGGGCATAGCTGGAAGGGAATAAGAATGAAGGAAGAAATTATTGCAGAAAGAATGGAAGCTCAGCATCTGAGAAGAAACCCACTGAATACAAATGATGGCAACAACGGTCCTGAAATCCCATGCTATAATTGTGGAAGTATTTTCTCAACATGAGCAGATCTTGCTTATCACATCCGCCATCGCCATGGGCTGTAAGTTCCATGAATCCTCATAGCACAATATGACACTATCGTCTGGAAAAAAAGTACAAGTGACAACACATGCTTGGAGAGATGCGCTCTCTCAAGATGTTAAGCTGTCCACAATGAACACCTCCCTGCCTGCACAGTACTGCAGGTGACACCTAGCTAGTGTTGCTGGTAAGGGTTGTGCCCCATTTATAATTTCTCTGGAGATTCTATGGGCTTTCTGTGATTTTCCCTGTCAGCTTGCCATCCATGGGTCATTCTATGGGCTTTCTGTGATTTTCCCTGTCAGCTTGCCATCCATGGGTTATTCTATGGGCTTTCTGTGATTTTCCCTGTCAGCTTGCCATCCATGGGTCATTCTATGGGCTTTCTGTGATTTTCCCTGTCAGCTTGCCATCCATGGGTCATTCTATGGGCTTTCTGTGATTTTCCCTGTCAGCTTGCCATCCATGGGTCATTCTATGGGCTTTCTGTGATTTTCCCTGTCAGCTTGCCATCCATGGGTCATTCTATGGGCTTTCTGTGATTTTCCCTGTCAGCTTGCCATCCATGGGTCATTCTATGGGCTTTCTGTGATTTTGTCCCTGTCAGCTTGCCATCCAGGGATCATTCTATGGGCTTTCTGTGATTTTCCCTGTCAGCTTGCCATCCAGGGATCATTCTATGGGCTTTCTGTGATTTTCCCTGTCAGCTTGCCATCCATGGGTCATTCTATGGGCTTTCTGTGATTTTGTCTGTCAGCTTGCCATCCATGGGTCATTCTATGGGCTTTCTGTGATTTTGTCCCTGTCAGCTTGCCATCCAGGGATCATTCTATGGGCTTTCTGTGATTTTCCCTGTCAGCTTGCCATCCAGGGATCATTCTATGGGCTTTCTGTGATTTTCCCTGTCAGCTTGCCATCCATGGGTCATTCTATGGGCTTTCTGTGATTTTCCCTGTCAGCCTGCCATCCAGGGATCATTCTATGGGCTATCTGTGATTTTCTCTGTTAGCTTGCCATCCATGGGTCATTCTATGGGCTTTCTGTGATTTTCCCTGTCAGCTTGCCATCCATGGGTCATTCTATGGGCTTTCTGTGATTTTCCCTGTCAGCTTGCCATCCAGGGATCATTCTATGGGCTTTCTGTGATTTTCCCTGTTAGCTTGCCATCCATGGGTCATTCTATGGGCTTTCTGTGATTTTCCCTGTCAGCTTGCCATCCATGGGTCATTCTATGGGCTTTCTGTGATTTTACCTGTCAGCTTGCCATCCAGGGATCATTCTATGGGCTTTCTGTGATTTTCCCTGCCAGCTTGCCATCTATGGGTAATTCTATGAGCTATCTGTGATTTTCCCTGTCAGCTTGCCATCCATGGGTCATTCTATGAACTATCTGTGATTTTCCTTGTCAGCTTGCCATCCATGGGTCATTCTATGGGCTATCTGTGATTTTCCCTGTCAGCTATTTGTTTAACACTTTGAAGGTCGTGGGTTCATTTCATGGCTGTACCATTCTGTTCCCGAGTGCAGTTTTTACAGAGATCCCTGGACACCAGCCCCAGAACTGGGCAGCATTTTTGTGAATTACACCACAATGAGCTGACCCTCTTTTCAGATTGAATGCAGAAAATAAAGAAGAAGTAGCAAAAGAAGAAGAGGAGCAGGAAGAATAAAAAGAAGAATCACCTTGCAATTTTTATCGAAGAAGGCTTTAATAAAGTGCCTAGTCACCTCCAACCAAATATCAGTTTGGGAATTCAATGATATACCACCTGGCATGATGTCACCTACCATTATTTGTAAGCTTGGGTACTCAATAGGCTTGAAGAAGGCACTTGGGGGTTTCAGGGACAAGGCTGCAGAGGTAGCAGGAAGTACTGCTGCTTCATCTGGCTCAGGACATTTGCAGAAGTCACCATCATCTGAAACCTTGATGATCTCATCCTGAGGGAAAAAAAAAATAAGTATCAAATTTTCAAATACATATCTCCACCACTGGCTGTGCCAAGTCCCAGATGAAAAAGGAGGAGGGCTGTGCATATGCCAGCTTTTTGGCCACACCTTTTAAATTTAATTTTGTTGCAGGAACATGCAGGAATGGAAAAGACTCCAGCAAACTGCATTCCAGTCAAGTGGGATTTGGTGCACAAAATGTATGATGATTGCTGACAAGAGGTTCCAAAGAAGCTGCAGTGAATTCCTTCCATAACATCAAAATTATTGCACAGGATAAAGTGGCACAGAGAAATATACTTGGAGCCCTTTGTAACATATAATGCCACAACAAGTTGATAATTTCAAAAACAAAAGATCTGATACAATAATTATTACTGGTTCATTGAGAAACAAAAGATCTGATACAATTATTATTACTGGTTCATTGAGAAACAAAAGATCTGATACAATTATTATTACTGGTTCATTGAGAAACAAAAGATCTGATACAATAATTATTACTTGTTCATTGAGAAACAAAAGATCTGATACAATAATTATTACTGGTTCATTGAGAAACAAGAGATCTGATACAATAATTATTACTGGTTCATTGAGAAACAAAAGATCTGATACAATAATTATTACTGGTTCATTGAGAAACAAAAGATCTGATACAATAATTATTACTGGTTCATTGAGAAACAAAAGATCTGATACAATTATTATTACTGGTTCATTGAGAAACAAAAGATCTGATACAATAATTATTACTGGTTCATTGAGAAACAAAAGATCTGATACAATAATTATTACTGGTTCATTGAGAAACAAAAGATCTGATACAATAATTATTACTGGTTCATTGAGAAACAAAAGATCTGATACAATAATTATTACTGGTTCATTGAGAAACAAAAGATCTGATACAATTATTATTACTGGTTCATTGAGAAACAAAAGATCTGATACAATTATTATTACTGGTTCATTGAGAAACAAAAGATCTGATACAATAATTATTACTGGTTCATTGAGAAACAAAAGATCTGATACAATTATTATTACTGGTTCATTGAGAAACAAAAGATCTGATGCAATAATTATTACTGGTTCATTGAGAAACAAAAGATCTGATACAATTATTATTACTGGTTCATTGAGAAACAAAAGATCTGATGCAATAATTATTACTGGTTCATTGAGAAACAAAAGATCTGATACAATTATTATTACTGGTTCATTGAGAAACAAAAGATCTGATGCAATAATTATTACTGGTTCATTGAGAAACAAAAGATCTGATACAATAATTATTACTGGTTCATTGAGAAACAAAAGATCAAATGGTTTGGTCATCTAGTAAGAATGCAGCCAGAACAACTGCGTTTGGTAATCTAGTAAGAATGCAGGTGCTACAATGAAAAGATCTGATTTGAAAGCAAGAGGCCACCATAGGAGAAAATGGACTGATGACGTTAAAAAGCTTCTACATCAACATGGAATGACAACGACCATTGCTGCTCATCAAGCAATGGATCATAAAGTGTTTCTCCCCATGATGCTCAAATGGCAAAAATGGAAATTGATGATAAGATGATGATGGGTTATTACTGGAACATTCTAAGCTGTAACTAAAAATGTCCCATGTTCTAGGGGTATTATGGGATGCCTTCCTTCGCTGTCTATACACAGTTGGAGGAAAACTGGCTCACGTTCTTTCAATGTGGTCGACGAAAGTGTGCAACTCTCTTTTCTCTAAAAGACTGTTTTTTTTGTGTGGAATGTGTTGTTGTTTTGAGTAGCTCAGATGCCAAAGATGCCTGTATGCAAGGAAGAAGTACTGCATGGGGAAAGCACCGAAGCAGCGACGATTTGTGAGTATCAAATCATTGATGTTTTTTGTATTTGTACACTCACTGTCAGTGGATTACGTCAGTCATGGATGTGCTTAAAACATTCAAAACTAACACCTATAGAACATAGGACAGGCCCTGGGAACTGCCACGAAATCTTGCTGCCAAAAAAGGTCGGGTGACTTTCAAGCGTAGTACCCAAAAATAAGGAAAGCTTTGGTTTCTAAAAGATCTGGGCATCAAAGAAAACTAGCTCATAAATGGCATCTCATCCCTAAAAATCAACTATTTTGGCTATGTCAAAAGTTGTAATGGCTCGGAAAGGACAGTAATGGATGGCAGGGTACTGAGAAAGAGAGGCAGGAAGAGATCAGCAAGCAGTGTGAGCACAAGGGTGAGGGAGCTGGTTTCTTACAGGTAGGCTGTGATGAGAGCAATGTTCTGTACAGGAACTGTTTCTTGAGGATAGTGATGATGATACCGATGATGATAATGATGAGAATAATGGTGATGATAATCATGATAATGATGATAATAATGATGAAGATGATGATGAGGATATGATTATGATGATGATGATGATAATAATAATGATGATCGAGAGGAGGAGGAGGATAATGATAATGATGATGATAATGAGGATAATGATTATTACAATGTTGATGATGATTACGACTATGATGATGAAAATGATAATGGTGATGAGTGAGTGACTAACCTCTGCTCCTGTACGCAGAGATGGAACCTTTTTCAGTGGCATATCATCAAGGAAAGACACATGTATGCTGTGCTTTTGATAGCACTGAAGCTTGTAATACTGGGGAACCTGGAGGACAAAATATAAACAGTAGAGGCAGCCACTAGCAGAATTACAATTCAAATGTTTTGTAGAGACAAGAGAAGAGAATAAAGTCAAATAAATTTAACAGGACACAACCTTTTCATACACAGGTTGAGGCATATACGACCAAGTAGTCAACTGGCTGAACTGATGTAATTAAAAGCAACTCACATAAATTTGTTGGTGTCAAACATGAGTTTGTTGGGGTCGACAATAAGTCTGTTGGTGTTATCCATGATTTTGTTGGTGTTGGCAATAAGTCAGTTGGTGTTATCCATGAGTTTGTTGGTGTCGACAATAAGTTTGTTGGTGTTATCCATGAGTTTGTTGGTGTCGACAATAAGTTTGTTGGTGTTATCCATGAGTTTGTTGGTGTCGACAATAAGTCTGTTGGTGTTATCCATGAGTTTGTTGGTGTCGACAATAAGTCTGTTGGTGTTATCCATGAGTTTGTTGGTGTCAACAATAAGTCTGTTGGTGTTATCCATGAGTTTGTTAGTGTTGACAATAAGTCTGTTGGTGTTATCCATGAGTTTGTTAGTGTTGACAATAAGTCTGTTGGTGTTATCCGTGAGTTTGTTAGTGTTGACAATAAGACTGTTGGTGTTATCCATGAGTTTGTTGGTGTTGATTATGTATTTGTAGGTGTCCACCATGAGTTTGTTGGTGTTATCCATGAGTATGTTGGTATTATCCATGAGTATGTTGGTATTATCCATGAGTATGTTGGTGTTAGCCAGAGTATGTTGGTGTTAGCCATGAGTTTGTTGGTGTTGATTATGTATTTGTAGGTGTCCACCATGAATTTGTTGGTGTTGATTATGTATTTGTAGGTGTCCACCATGAGTTTGTTGGTGTCAGCCATGAGTATGTTGGTATTATCCATGAGTATGTTGGTGTTAGCCATGAGTATGTTGGTGTTAGCCAGAGTATGTTGGTGTTAGCCAGAGTATGTTGGTGTTAGCCAGAGTATGTTGGTGTTAGCCATGAGTATGTTGGTGTTAGCCAGAGTATGTTGGTGTTAGCCAGAGTATGTTGGTGTTAGCCATGAGTATGTTGGTGTCCACCATGAGTTTGTTGGTGTTAGCCATGAGTATGTTGGTGTCCACCATGAGTATGTTGGTGTTAGCCATGAGTATGTTGGTGTTAGCCATGAGTATGTTGGTGTTAGCCATGAGTATGTTGGTGTCCACCATGAGTATGTTGGTATTGTCCATGAGTATGTTGGTGTTAGCCATGAGTATGTTGGTGTCCACCATGAGTATGTTGGTATTATCCATGAGTATGTTGGTGTTAGCCATGAGTATGTTGGTGTTAGCCATGAGTATGTTGGTGTTAGCCATGATTATGTTGGTGTCCACCATGAGTATGTTGGTCTTAGCCATGAGTATGTTGGTGTTAGCCATGAGTATGTTGGTGTTAGCCATGAGTATGTTGGTGTCCACCATGAGTATGTTGGTATTATCCATGAGTATGTTGGTGTTAGCCATGAGTATGTTGGTGTCCACCATGAGTATGTTGGTGTTATCCATGAGTATGTTGGTGTTAGCCATGAGTATGTTGGTGTCCACCATGAGTATGTTGGTGTTAGCCATGAGTATGTTGGTGTTAGCCATGAGTGTGTTGGTGTTAGCCATGAGTATGTTGGTGTTAGCCATGAGTATGTTGGTGTTAGCCATGAGTATGTTGGTGTCCACCATGAGTATGTTGGTGTTAACCATGAGTAAATTGGTGTCCACCATGAGTATGTTGGTGTTAGCCATGAGTAAATTGGTGTCCACCATGAGTATGTTGGTGTTAGCCATGAGTAAATTGGTGTCCACCATGAGTATGTTGGTGTTAGCCATGAGTAAATTGGTGTCCACCATGAGTATGTTGGTGTCCACGATGAGTATGTTGGTGTCCACCATGAGTATATTGGTGTCCACCATGAGTATGTTGGTGTTAGCCATGAGTATGTTGGTGTCCACCATGAGTATGTTGGTGTTAGCCATGAGTATGTTGGTGTTAGCCATGAGTATGTTGGTGTCCACCATGAGTATGTTGGTGTTAGCCATGAGTATGTTGGTGTCCACCATGAGTATGTTGGTGTTAGCCATGAGTATGTTGGTGTTAGCCATGAGTATGTTGGTGTTAGCCATGAGTATGTTGGTGTTAGCCAGAGTATGTTGGTGTTAGCCAGAGTATGTTGGTGTTAGCCAGAGTATGTTGGTGTTAGCCATGAGTATGTTGGTGTTAGCCATGAGTATGTTGGTGTCCACCATGAGTATGTTGGTGTTAGCCATGAGTATGTTGGTGTCCACCATGAGTATGTTGGTGTTAGCCATGAGTATGTTGGTGTCCACCATGAGTATGTTGGTGTTAGCCATGAGTATGTTGGTGTTAGCCATGAGTATGTTGGTGTCCACCATGAGTATGTTGGTGTTAGCCATGAGTATGTTGGTGTCCACCATGAGTATGTTTGGTGTTAGCCATGAGTATGTTGGTGTCCACCATGAGTATGTTGGTGTTAGCCATGAGTATGTTGGTGTTAGCCATGAGTATGTTGGTGTTAGCCATGAGTATGTTGGTGTCCACGATGAGTATGTTGGTGTTAGCCATGAGTATGTTGGTGTTAGCCAGAGTATGTTGGTGTTAGCCAGAGTATGTTGGTGTTAGCCATGAGTATGTTGGTGTTAGCCAGAGTATGTTGGTGTTAGCCAGAGTATGTTGGTGTTAGCCATGAGTATGTTGGTGTTAGCCAGAGTATGTTGGTGTTAGCCAGAGTATGTTGGTGTTAGCGAGAGTATGTTGGTGTTAGCCAGAGTATGTTGGTGTTAGCCAGAGTATGTTGGTGTTAGCCATGAGTATGTTGGTGTTAGCCAGAGTATGTTGGTGTTAGCCAGAGTATGTTGGTGTTAGCCATGAGTATGTTGGTGTCCACCATGAGTTTGTTGGTGTCAGCCATGAGTTGACCAAAGGTTATAGGCTACATTTTACCAATTTGCGCTCAGTGGGTGATGTGGTCAACATTATGCCAGTGGCCTTTACTTCCCAGGAGTTTATCTGTTCAACCTGGCAGCCAAGATCATTTTGAGAAACAAAAGTCAGGCACCATCAAGAGCTGAACCCATGAACTTCAGATCAGCAGGCATGTGCTCCCCATGTCTCATGTGCCACTGGTGTGAAGATGGTCCTCTACTTGACAGACTTTAAAGAGAGGTTAGTCTAAGGCACTAGTCTGCAACCTGGGTTGGGGGGGGGGGGGGGGGGGGGGGGGTTTTGTAAGGAGGTTTGGGGGGAAAAAGGGGGAGGGGGGGCAAGCAATTTTGAGACTCAATGCATTTGTATTCGTAGTAATCTGTTTATAATATTTGTTTTCAGGTTTTATTATAAATCAAAGAATGAAATATTTGTTTTTAGGTTTTATTATAAATCAAAGAATGAAATATTTGTAAACCCTATTTATAAAACAAAAAGCTTTCAGCAGTCTGTATATCTACAGTTGAAAATCTAATTAATATGATAAGACAGCCATTTATGGATAAAGAACACATTCTGACCAAAACATTTCTCTATGCTGTCTGTTCCTCTTGTCGCGCAATCTACTCTTCTCTATTTAATCATTTTTTGTTATGCTGGGGGTGGGACCGTGGCAGCCTTACCATAAACTCAAGTGGAAAATGGAGGTCTTGTAATATACTCAGAGAGGAGAGGGGGAGGGGGGTTAGGTTTTGCCATATACTCAAGGCGGCGTGACCTGAAAAAAGTTGGAGACCTCTAGTCTAAAGTATTCCCAACTCACCTGTGTCTCAACTCACAATTAAAGCCAGCACTTACTTTCAGATTCAGAAAAGGTACATCCCTCTTAATGACAACCTCAGTTGGGATGACTGGAACGGTACCCAACGCATCCGGAGCCTTGACAAACAAAAACAAAAAGCGAAATAAAATAGGAGGTTACATTTATCTTTCACAATCTAAATATTTCTCTTGTTCTTAATTGAAACTGTTGGTTGGAGGCAAACCCTTTAAAGAATTATGAATTCTAACTTTCAAGTTTTGGATACTTGTCTCAGGGTTCATTTCCACCATGAAATAATAAAGGTAAAGTAAAGGACCCTTTTCCATGCTTTCAGGCATATTGGGCATATAGGGCTAGACCTATATTTTATAGACAAATAAGCACTTGGTGGGTGATATTTTTAGAATCGCAGTGTCCACCTTTACTTCCCAGGACTGTACCTGGTACCAATGATCTCATTACTCATGTGCGTCAAGAGATGGAAAATATTCATTAAGTTTACTTAGTAATAAGCTCGGTGTGTGAAAATAAGTTTCCATTTACTCTGAGAGTAACACTTTTCAGTGCATAGGAGCAAGCTTGTAAATATTACTTGAATATTTTTTTTCTTTGGATTCTTATCATGATATTATCCGCACGGTCGCGTTCATGCTGCAGCTGGTCATATGGCAGGTATTCCTTATTTTTGGCAGTTGAACCATTCTCTCTATTCTCGGTTGTCGCTGCTCACTTGCGAGATTACTGGCACGTTGTGCTACTTGCCTGACTGTTCGTGAGTAGCGAAACTACGATGTTTTTGTATTTTTCTTTCCGTAGCGGTCACTACTTTTTCTGGATTAAAGCCGCCACCAAGAAACGTAGAAATACAAAAACATCCCAGTTTCGATACTCACAAACCAGCGAGCCTGCGGCGCTTCTTCCTGCAGTACTTCTTTCTTGTAAACAGGCACATGTGGCGTCTCAAAGAGGCTCGTGACAACACAACCTCCCACAATTGTACATGGCGAGCAAATGCTGAACAAAGTCATATCATAACATCCCCATGACACAGGAAAGGCAGTGTGGCCGGTCGTGGCATGAATAGGAAGTAACTCTTGCAGTGCAGACAATATCTTGATAAGTTCCCTTTTTTGTGATGTTTGTAGTTTCTTTAGACATTTGTCATGGGGTTTTCCCTCAGTCAGTCAAGCCATTGTTTTCAGCATGAAAGCATCCTTTTTTGTCTCAGTGATGTTTTATTTACATTACTACTACAAAAGCATGCCAGCAATCGACTGAACATGCTATTATGATCTATTATGACAAGACAGCTACCAGTCACTCACCATATCATCTTTAATACTGGGGCTGACATAGACAGGAAACATGGACTTCTGGACTTTGTCCGCAGTAAACATTGACAGACGTGTGCCTAGATTCACTGACTCGCTGTCCTCAGGTGTCTCCTCACTGCCATCTACACAGAAATACAAATAACATGTCAGTATTATTGTTTTATTTACTGGCTTCATTCTGACTGCATGGATCAGCACCAGTGATGGATATAGAGGTTAGTTGTGTATCCTTTACAGGACATTGCAGAACCAGCCTCAACAGCCCCTGGCTGTTGTGGGGTTTTTCTAAGCAAATTTATGTCCAGTAGTTTGCCATTGCTTTCTGGACGATCGGCTTTCTTGATACCACTGTTGAAACCAACGCAAGGCGAATGACCGGCAGCTGGAATCGTACCGGGCATCCCGGCATTACGAAGCATTCGCATCAAGTTAGCCACAGAGCCGGCGATGGATACAGATATCAGCTAAATAAGCTACAGTGCAATGACTGCAACCGTTCTACATTGCCTGTGCAATCACTCTCTTGGCTCTAAATCATGCAGTATACTCTGGCACATTGACCAATACCTCACCACAGCATGCTGAACAAACATTGAGAAACACCAGACAGTTGGTAACAGTCAGTTTATTCTCCAACGATGTCCTCTCGATCAAACAATGCTTCAAAGGTATATACTATAGTTTAGGGACCTAGCTATGTTAGCAGGCAATTACTCTCATAGAATTTCAAAAAGGATTGTTACTGTTAATACATTTCATGCTTGCACTTTACCGCTCACAAATTTGCATCCCAAACTTCACAGCACAGCTGACACTCACGCCTTTATTCTGTGCGGTCATGGATTGATTAGCCAGGTTTCTTCAAAATCCACATTTGACACTTGATCATACATTCACTTGCTTGTAGATTCACTTGACTTTCACCCTTCCAGCACAGCCAGACATCACTCTCTCAGAGTCTAAAACAAGGCTAAATCTTCTGGATCACTCCAAGTTTGAATAATCAAATGAAATTTTCATTCAATGTATTCTAAATGCAGTTTTCTATTAATGTATTTACGTACCTATTTATGTACCCCCCACACCCCCCCCCCCTTTTTTTTCCGTTTTACATTTTTCTAAATTTAGTATTATTATTATTTTGGGTATATTATATCAGGTTGTTTTAACTTGTTGCTGCCTATTTAAATTAAACAAAATAATCAGCTTTATCTGCATCCATTTCAACCTTTTCCTAACTTGAGTTGTCTTAGTCATTCTTAGTGCGAGCTTGGGATAAATATATATTACAAATCTTTGTAAATGTTCTCAGATTAGCAGGTGAAATTAAAAATGGTAGGGACCTCAAGGCTTTATGTAGCTTAGGGCCTCATGGAGTCTAAATCCAACCCTGGTCAGGATTATACTTGTTTTCCTATTTTTCCCCATCCTTTTCTTCTTCATTCTCCTCTCTTTCTCTTTCTCTTACTGCATCTTGCAATCTTTCTCTTGTTACCCCTTTTTACTCCTCGCCTCCTTAAACGATTCTTTTCCAAGCCCTTAGGCATACTGGGCATATGGTGCTACTTGTACTTTATAGATCAGTTGGCAATGGCTTAGGGATGTGGTTACAATCGCACCGGCTGATACCTATGACTTAACCTGGTACTCCTTTCAGGCTGGGTTGACCTCAAAGCTAAGTTCCTATTTTTTAACACAATCTTGATTGATGAAGATTTGAACCTATGACCTTCAGGCCCATAGGCAAGCATCTGTCTGTTACATCATGGAAGCTCTTCTGACAGTGCCACCCATCAAACACGACCATCCAGTAGGAACATGTTGAAATATTTACTCGAAAAACTGATGGCCCAACTTTAAAGATTTAGAATACACAGAACTTACCCTCAGAGGTTCCTGTATGTTTTCTAGCATTCAAATCTGCAGTGAGTTTCCTTAAGCCAGGCAATCTTTTACTAACACGGTTACGAACAATCACCTGTTAAAGTTATCACACACAAAAAACCTGTATTAGGCAAGAAAGGAAAAACGATAACCTACAGTCAGTCATCCAGAGCCCCAAGTAACCTAGAGGACACTGTTGATGACCTTCATAACCATCACCATCCTTTTGTACCATTACACATTTCATAAAGTTTGCAGTTTTCACTCTATTCTATGCTGTTCATGAATGGAATCCAGTCAAGTACTCTCACAAGCACCCTCACAAGTACCCTCGCAAGTACCCTCACAAGTACCCTCACAAGTACCCTCACAAGTACCCTCGCAAGTACGATCACAAGTACCCTCACAAGTACCCTCGCAAGTACCCTCACAAGTACCCTCACAAGTACCCTCGCAAGTACGATCACAAGTACCCTCGCAAGTACCCTTGGCATCTTTCATGAATGTTCATATTAGGGCTTCTTTTGGACATTCTTGTTGATAACCTTAGCTACAGTCAAAAGGGGTATCACTAAAATAATCGACTGAGATTTGTAGTCAAGTTGCAATGGCTGAAATGAGCATGTTAATGGAAGGCAAATGTGATAATATCAACACAATATTCATAAGTATGATACAACTGACTCATTACGATTGACTTGAATGAATGAGTGCATGAATCAAGCGCTGACATGAGTGAACTCAGAACATTCACACTCATGCTGTCTCTCCTTTCTCGGTAGCCAAAGAGGAGTCAACATGCTAACAGTACCAGATGAAATCTGGTTAAAAGTCTGCCTACTTTCCCCCTCAGTGTTGAATATCTTCCACATAAAGAAGAAACAAAGTAAATTAAACACAACACAATGATGGTCTTATTACGATGGTCACAATGATCCTCTCAGCTCAGTTACAGAGCTGATGATCTTACTGTTCTGGCTGCTTGAACAAATCTGTCAAGAGCAGCTTGTCTTGTGTTCCAGACATCATTAGCATATAGGTCAAACATGGCGTCTGCTGGTGCCAGCTGCAGAATCAATTAATACAAATAAACAAATGTATCAGTTGATAACATATTCAGAACACTTTCTTCTTAATTCCTAAAGAGCAACAGTGAATGAGTGAGTGAGTGAATGAGTGAGTGAGTGAGTGAGTGAGTGAGTGAGTGAGTGAGTGAGTGAGTGAGTGAGTGAGTGAGTGAGTGAGTGAGTGAGTGAGTGAGTGTGAGTGAGTGAGTGAGTGAGTGAGTGAGTGAGTGAGTGAGTGAGTGAGTGAGTGAGTGAGTGAGTGAGTGAGTGAGTGAGTGAGTGAGTGAGTGAGTGAGTGAGTGAGTGAGTGAGTGAGTGAGTGAGTGAGTGAGTGAAAAAAAAATCTAGCCCTGACTAACTCACTGACTACTGTCATGGTCAAACAGGCATAACAAAACATAACCCTTGACCCGTTATAGTTGTGGAAACATATGAAAGCACCAGCACAAAAATGTGCCATCTTTCTATGTCTTCTGTTTGTTGAAAAAGTGTATAGTGATTAGTCCATTTCTTGATGTTATCATTCCAGATCTTATTTTACCCCCTCATCTTCAACTAAACCCAGTGTTCCTTGAAATACAGTCTTTGCAGCTGACTGTCAACATGCACATTATCTACTGTACCAGCATATTTCTCAGTAATCAAGTGTCGCAAACAGATATATCCATCACCTACCAGATCTGCATCTCTCATAGTTTTAGAGTAAACGCTGATTGTCTGCTGACGTGTGAGTTCATCCTCTGGGACTGGATCTCCTCTTCTGAGCTGAAATTGAGTAAAAACATTTAACAGAATCAAGGTCAGATCTAGATTGTGTTTTTCTAGCATTAAATAAAATAAGTTTTGGTTTATGAGAGATTTAGAAATGCAAACTCCCTAAAAAGTTCCAAAGAAAGAGTAGAATTATCACACTATAGATGGTATCAGTGTGCGTGTGTGGTGTGTTTAGTATGTGTGTGTCTGTACATGCATGTTTTTGGTTTGCATATGTATCTGTGTGTGTATGTATGTGCATGTGTATCAGAGTATGAGCACATCCATGTATGGGTGTGTGAGAGTGTATACATGTTTGAGAGATGGAGAGAAAGTGTGTGTGTGTGTGCATGTGCTTGTGTGTGTGCGTGGGGCCACCCACCATAAAATGATTTTTGTTTTTCCAGACATAGTACCCTTTGATTAAGCTGATACAGGTCTGTATTATATTTTATATTATATTATATTATATTATATTATATTATATTATATTATATTATATTATATTATATTATATTATATTATATTATATTATATTATATTATATTATATTATATTATATTATATTACATTACATTACATTACATTACATTACATTACATTACATTACATTACATTATATTATATTATATTACATATTAAATAATATATGAGATGATTTGACCACCTGGCGAGAATACCCTAGTACCAACTGGCCCAGAGAGCAACGCTGAAGAAATATAATCAACACAGAGCAAGGGCAAGACCATGCAAGAGATGGAGTGACACCATCAGGAGTAACCTAACAGAAATGAATACCACCTTGTACAATGCATTGGAAAAAGTGCACAAACAATCTTTACATCGCCCCCAACACTTCACTGTTGGTAAATGGTAGAAGAGAAGAAGAAGAAGATAGATATTATTTATTATATTATATTTACAGGTGTGAGGAGTTGGTTGACCTGGTCTGGGTTCTTTATAAAATACAAGCAAGAGATTGTTTTGATTGTTCCTCTAAAGCAAGCAGGCAGGTCAAACTAAGGGTCTCCCTTAAGGCCCATATAGATCACATGTGTGTTATCATGTGGGCCACACAGAACAACTAACTGAAGTCATTAAAAAAAAATTATTGCTTGCAAAGGGGCACATGTTTGACATGCCCGCTCCATTAGATCATGGTATGTTTTTTAGGTTTCATCATACAAAGTATAAATATGTCATTGACAGACAACCAAAAGAGAAACTGTTGAACCATGTATAAAAATAGTTACAGACAAAGTACAGATAGGTTTTTCTGTAGACACCAAAGAGTTAGCTGAATTAAAAATGGATATTACAGAGCTTAGGACATTTCCATAAGTGCTCTGTCCCCCATCTTCAGCAGCCAGCTCAGAGTTCCAAGTCCAACAGTGGCAGTAGCAGTTTGATTACATGTCTGGCATGCTGTTTCAAAGAGGAAGTGCACAGATATGCCATTAGGGATTGTTTTTCGATGATAAAGAACAAGAAGACATTAAAACAGTTTGGAAAAACAAACAGAATACAAGTACTTGATGTTCTCATGACATTTAATTTATCTCAATACTGATAGATTCATTCAACACAACATGACTGACTGACTGACCTTGTACCGGTTGAAGGCTTCATTTCTAGCCTCTAGTATAGTGTACCTCTCCTGCGCTGACATTGGCTCATCTCCAATCTTCACCTGCCAGCGTAACTGATTCTGTCGCTCCTCATACACATTTTGCCTCACTGCTTCTTCAAACATAGCCTCCTGCAGGGAGGGAATCAGTCACATCAAATATTCCAAAACTGATGTCTAATGTGTACTAAAGAACTTTCATTAGACATGGGTATCTCTATTAGTGCATCAGTCTTCTCCCATTGAACGAAAAGAATATTTGCCTCCACAGCTCCCTGTGGGGGTTCTGAAGCCCCTTTCTGGAGAATACAGATTAGACCCTCTGCCCCTGACAAGCACATCGTCTGTCTTGCCTTTCCTCGTGTCAGCCAGATCTCCAGGTCACTAGCTGCTGCCCCATTCTCTTCTTATCAAGAGAACCGATGTGGCTCTCATAACATTTACTCATTTCCAAAGCTTGTCATGCACCAGTTTACCAACAAGTGCTCCAGAACAAGCCAGTCTGTCTGGCTGTTCATTCCCCTACACACCTGGATGACTTAGAGACACTATGCAAAGGTTGCTAACTACTTGGGGTCTCTGGTGCATCAACATAACTGTATTATACAGCTCAGCTTGGTTTCTGGGATTTGCTCCTGTTTGATTTTCATCCATGCAGAGTTAATTCTATGAACAGCAATCCTGGAGGAGAACTATGACCAAACAAATAACCACCATATCATGGTAACAGTAATCACATTAAATTCCAGCCCTGGAGTTCTGTCAGTTCCACAAGGTAACTTGTTATTTGTTGTCTGTATCCACATCGGCGCACACCAGTCTGACATACTTGTGCTGAATCCTTTAATGCAGCAACCATTTCAGGGTCTACATGCTCTTCTTTTTCTGATTTTTTCCCCCTGCAGTCTGTTTCTGCAAGCATGTCCTTGTTTAATACTCATTTCCGACAGGCGGTTCATCATAGAGTTCCACAAGGTCTCACAGCAGATATATATATATATGGGAACAGACAACTGTGCTAAATCAGGAGTGCCTGGCTTCTAACAAGTTTAACTCTTTCGGTACCTAACAACTCACTGTACATTTCTTGGTCACTTCAAAGACAATAAACATACAGTTCTTCCATTCCTCGATATCAGACAACTGCTACATTAGCCCACTACATCCAGACTGCTGGTTTAACCCCCTACCATCTCACCCTGTCTCTGGTGTAACTACTTCAGACAAAAACCCTGAATACTTCGTTTCAGAACAGAACAAGTTTCAGTAACAGCTGTCTGAAACTAAAATAGTTCAATACACAGCACAAGTGGTCACTTGTGCAGCCAGATTTCTTTAGTACTTGAGGAAAAAAACAGTTAGACAGATTGGCACATAGTGTTTTGGTTTACAGCTGCGCTTTTCTGCCCAACACATCTGATTTCAGCAAACTGAATTTTTGCCTTTTACAAAATACTTGCTCGGAGTGAAAGGAATGAGAGCGTGGGGGGCTATTCTATTTTCACCCTAAATCAGTTACAACTGTAGGGAACTGCCTGAGTAATCAGTGAAAAGAAGGAGCAAGAGGTGAAGTGCATAATCCAGCCTTGACATTGTAAGTCACCTTTAACTCTCAGCTAACAAAGTTTCTCAGCAGACTTCTGCAATGGCAGTGAGACTGAGCTCCCTCTAATGAGAATAAATGTAAATAAGCAGAATCAGTAAACTGATGATATTAAATAGTTTAATGAGAATAATTGTAAATGTAGAGAAAATTAAAAGAAAAAATACTGAACACTTCAATAAGAATCCTTGTACAGGAAAAGGAAAGAAAACAATTAATACTCAACAATATAAGGAGAATAATTGATAACATACAGAAAACAGATGAAACACAGTACCTTGACTTGTTGTGTTGTTTCACTGCTCATCAGGTCTCCACTCAACATATCTAAGCAAAATATAAACTGTTAGTTGAGCCACTGTCACTACACTCCTGACAAACATACAAGTTCTCAGTCTACCTTTATTTAACACTATGCCATTCAGATGAGAAACTAGGAAACTGGATTGATTAAGTCACAACATTATTAGCTGGGCTGATCAGTTCCTTTCTCCCAACTTTTTATCTTCTAAATAAACATCAAATTTTCCATTGTGGCTCTGAAACCTCGGGTAAAACTTAATAAGAAAAAGCCTTTTTGCAAACTTCTGAGAACAGAGTCTAATGAACAAATCTTTGGACCCACCAAGGGTGCTAACAGTGGAGAATGGAGAGTGAGAAGCAAAAATAACATTCACGTGATTAAATCACCACTAATTACTAACATCATGAGGGCTAATAGACTGCAATAGTTGAGGTTTAAAAAATAAATGGCAAATAACAGACAAAGTTCTGTGTACACGCAAAAGAGGTGAATGGGAGCTGAAGACAAAGCCCACCAAAGACAACAGTGCAGAGAGCACGTGTATAAGCAGACCTGTAGAAACTCGAAGTCATCAATAAGGAAAATAAACCTCGGTATATCATTAACAGATCACATCAAACAATGACACAATTTTCCAAATCATCACTAAAAACATTGACGTTTGAGGTTTTGAAGAATGGATCAACATCATGGCACACAGGTGTAACCCATAAGTGCTCTGTTCTTCTTCTAACTCAAGTCTGACTCTGAGGCTCTGTAGCATTGGTGAGGATCCTTTGGGTAGATTTTTAAATCCAAATTTTGCCCAGGCAACGTTGTTAGGCTACTCTTTTCGATTTCCAACTGCCAAGGGATTTTTTATGTTGGCAAACAATGCACAAAGGCGTCCGATCTCACTACCCATAGACCAGGGGGAATTACTAGAAGTCCAAGTTCACATGACAAAATCTCAGCCCTTACCGGGGATTGAACCCGGAACCTCTAGACTCAAGGCAGACACCCTGCTTCGAGACCACACAACTTCCTGTTACCTTACATTGGTAAAAATCAATTCCTTCAACAACATAAAAAGACAGAAAATTCAATTTGCAGACAGGTAACAGGATCTTCTAGGCTCTCTAAAACAATACCTCAGGGGCAAATAGAAGAGTCACAACAAGAAATGCATGGATACAAAATGTACAAACATATACAAACATCATCAAGTCAACTGCACCTGACCAACAGAGAGGGAGAGATCTGATAGGATAATCAATAGCAACTGGTGACCAAATGACACATGATGTTATAGGACTTTGATAATGGTGATGATGATGACAGTCAAAGACTAAAGTAGACAGAAATGTGATGCTTGTTGATATCAGATGTATCAGCATAGAAGTGACTTGACAGTGTCTTGTCATTTACATTTGATTGTCATCATCATCCATTTCCACTCTTTATTATGTAAGTGCCTCAGTCTTCATCTGAGGGGGGGTTGCATGGCCAAGTTCATTGAGTTTGGATGTAAACATGACAGCCCATCTTATCTTTGGGTGCCCTTATGTTCTCACATCAGATCTTCTTGGTAGATGCTGAAGTTGCATTCTAATGAGCTGACACAACCACATTTGATGACAGCATGAAAATAATTAAAAAGGTTAGGAAAATATGAAACATAGTATTACTCTCATTATCCCCATGTGTGATGTCCTTGTGGGGTACAACTTACATACATACATACATACATACATACATACATACATACATACATACATACATACATACATACATACATACATACATACAAACGTGAAACATATTATTACTCTCATTATCCCCATGTGTGATGTCCTTGTGGGGTACAACTTATATACAAACATACATGAAACATGGTATTACTCTCATTATCTCTATTGTGATGTCGTTGTGGGTTACAACTTACATACATACATAAATGAAACATGGCTTACTCTGTCTCATCTCAGTTGCTCTCATCTTCCCTGGCTCATGTAGAAGGATTCTGCTTACAGCATGAGGGTTGTCCAGCTTGGAAGGCAAACGTATCCCATCTCTCTCCAGTGTGACCTAATGAGATAGTGCTATGGATTAATGCACAAATGTAAGGAAGGCTAGATCACTGACCACTCTGGTCTGAAGATATAGTTCTCATGCTTCATAGATCTAAAGCTTTTCTTTATTTGAAAACTTCTCATCTGCAAAAGATGTCAATAAGGAGTTACATCATTATTATGCTCTAGTGACATCTATGAAGGTTAGTAGTAAAGGATCTACAGCAGTTTCTATCATGAGCCTGCACTGTATATCCTGGTGGGCTACCTCTGACTTTTGCTGACCTGATTCAGTATAGTATAATCCTATCTGATCTTCTGGTAGTGGATCAGATGTCTAACCTTCTCACATAAGGGTGAATTGCTAACATGGCCCTCATACATATCGTAAGAATGTAATCAAAGGACACATTTGCATGCAATGAGTTGTTGTTGTGTACACTGTGCTAGTCAGTACTTTAATTTTTTTTTAACCCGTCTCGTCATCTTCGAGATTTCATAGGAAATTCCTAGGAATTCCTAGAAATTCCTAGAGGTATCTCTGAACAGTACCATATTATGGGAAAGGGGGTGTTTGATTAGGGCTAGTGTTAAAAATGAATAATGGCTACTACTAAACCTAATCTGAACTCCCCTATACTATGGGATGTTCTGTGGATTTCCCTACCCAATCTTGCAGCCAGCCAGAGGGGCCATCTAAAATTAAAGGGCCTGCTAGCCATATTTTTTGTAACAGATCACTTAGCACTGAGTGAGTGATATGGTGAGCATCACAGCGGTCATTTTTATTTTCTAGCAGATTTCTTGGTGCCCATTTTAGGCTGATGGGAACATAGGACAGCCTATTTAACATCCCAACTCAAGGGGGATTTAAACACAAGACAACTGGGCCAGCACACAGATGCACTAATCACTGCACTAGCACAGTATTTTTAAAATAATAGTATATCAGAGGCAGCTGCTGTGCTGTAGTAGCTAGACGGCTAGACACTCGCCTGTGGATCTGAAGGTTGTGGATTCAGGTTCTGATGGAGCCAGACTTGTTGCTCAAATAAACACCCTGGCTTCCATGTTGACCCAGCCTCAAATATGTACCAGGTAAAGTCCTGGGAAGTAAAGGTGATCAGTGTGATAGTGATCACATCAATCACTGAGTGTCAAGTGGCCTATAAAATATAGCTCTAACCCTATATGCCCAACACACCTGAAGGTGTGGAAAAGGATCCTTTACTTATTTTTTTTTTTTTAAACTTATATCAGAAGTCAATTATACCATTAAGTCGAACAGTTTAACAGAACTAGCTAGTACATGAAATCTCATATTTGCCTGTTTACTGACCATTTGTCCAGAGCTAGACACTGATTTCCTTTTCTGTATAATCCTGACAGTCTTTGTTTGCTGTTTGTTTCTTCTTGCTCTGTCCAGGGGAGACACACACTTTGGATCCAGCACGTCTGAATCCACAGCGAGTAAAGTATCCTCCCTTGAAAAGAAATTGTTTTGGAAAGGTTAAAGGTCACTTAAAAGTTGTTTGTCATTAGGTTCAAGTATCAAAGTCAGGCCCAGGGAGAGGGTGACTCGACGTTCATTCATGCGTCCTAACCTTTAAGACACGTTAGTCTAAGTTACAGGGGTGTCAGGTTGTGTTCTGCTATGTATATGTTGGCGGATGGACAGGTACACATGTTTTATCCGCTGTTCAGAGCAATTGTATATATTCTGGCCTTCTCAGACTTCAAGTACGAAATAAATTTACTTCAGTTATCAGCGTTAACGGCTGACAAGCAGAGAAGTGTTGCTTTTCTGCAGCAACATGACATCCTACAATCAATCAGACGCTGTTTGAAGAACCATCTGATGGTGCTACAGTAAAATTTTAATTGTCTAAAACCACGGGACAAGGGTGCAGTCTCTCAAAGGATGTAGGCAGAGCCTTGTTGTTGGGGAAAGGGAGGGGGGGGGGTGGCGTTAAGGCCAGTTCTAGATATTCTGGGGGTCGTTAAAACTGATCCCATCCTGTAATATAGAGCTAAGACTATTGGGTCTCAAAGGTTAAAACACATAAATAAATGTCCAATCATAATCTGCCTGGGCCTGACTTTGTTAGCTGTATTTGTCATCAAAATATGATGTGTCATGAACAGGTTACAGATCATTCAAGTCAATGAAAGGTTATGAAAACCAGTGAATGCATAAAAATTCACCTTAGATAAAACATAATGACTAAATCAAACTTTATATGTTTCTATATCAATCACTCAGGTGCTATCACTGATTGAGACATTAGTGTACCCTACAGAGCTCTCTGTAACTATTTAAATTCAGAAATCTTCAACTATACTTTTACATACATATAGTACAGAGCTCTCTGTCCTCTCCTTGTACTTTTACATACATATAGTACAGATCTCTCTGTCCTCTCCCTGTACTTTTACATACATATAGTAGAGATCTCTCTGTCCTCACCCTGTACTTTTACATACATATAGTAGAGATCTCTCTGTCCTCACCCTGTACTTTTACATACATATAGTACAGATCTCTTTGTCCTCTCCCTGTACTTTTACATACATATAGTACAGATCTCTCTGTCCTCTTGCTTTACTTTTACATACATATAGTAGAGATCTCTCTGTCCTCACCCTGTACTTTTACATACATATAGTAGAGATCTCTCTGTCCTCACCCTGTACTTTTACATACATATAGTACAGATCTCTCTGTCCTCTTGCTTTACTTTTACATACATATAGTACAGAGCTCTCTGTCCTCTTGCTTTACTTTTACATACATATAGTACAGATCTCTCTGTCCTCACCCTGTACTTTTACATACATATAGTACAGATCTCTCTGTCCTATCCCTGTACTTTTACATACATATAGTACAGAGCTCTCTGTCCTCTTGCTTTACTTTTACATACATATAGTACAGAGCTCTCTGTCCTCTCCCTGTACTTTTACATACATATAGTACAGAGCTCTCTGTCCTCACACTGTACTTTCACATACATATAGTACAGAGCTCTCAATCCTCTCCCTGTACTTTCACATACATATAGTAGAGATCTCTCTGTCCTCTCCCTGTACTTTCACATACATATAGTACAGATCTCTCTTTCCTCTTGCTTTACTTTTACATACATATAGTACATAGCTCTCTGTCCTCTCCCTGCACTTTCACATACATATAGTACAGAGCTCTCTGTCCTCTCCCTGCACTTTCACATACATATAGTACATAGCTCTCTGTCCTCTCCCTGCACTTTCACATACATATAGTACATAGCTCTCTGTCCTCTCCCTGCACTTTCACATACATATAGTACAGAGCTCTCATTCCTCTCCCTGCACTTTGACATCCATATAGTACAGAGCTCTCTGTCCTCTCCCTGTACTTCAACATATATAGTATAAAGCTTTCTGTCATCTTCCTGCACTTGTACACATACAGTACAGAGGTCACTGTCTCTATCTAAGTTTATAAATCATTGATTATCAAGACAGAAACTCTGGTGGAGATGAAAACTAAAGTATTTGCAAGTCTTGATTTAGCAAGGAGCACACAGACTGGCTGAGATTTAGCTTTGATAAGGCTGGCTGACCAAAACAATCAATGTGATAGTACTGAATATTAATGAAACCTTTCCTTTGAAGTTTTGATGCAGTATTCATCAGGAAGAAATCTTCACACAGGACATTAATTTTGTAGCTGGAGGGACTGGCATTGCAGCTTGTGTTCATTTGATCAATTTTAACCACACAGGTTTCAGAGGTTGACCTGGTTTGGGTGCAAAATCTGGAGTGTGGCTGGCAAGGTGGCTTTTGCTGTTGTTGCTCTTTATCTCATGAAAATGAGATTTTTCTGATTAAAAATGACAAGTAAGGAATAATGGTACATTTCAGGTATCCAGTCTCACCTCAAGGAGGATCATCAATGCTTGCACCATATTCAATATTTATTTTTTCTTATTTTCGTCTCAGTTTTCTTCTATTTTCTCTTCCCTGAAAGTATAGAAAAAGATCCTATCCTTTTATCAGCAGCCGTTGACAGTCCATGTGACAGAAGGCTGTGTTCACAATTACCAACAACACCACAGATCATGGACTATGAGAAAACTATATAAGAATAGTCACTTCCGATCCGCAGATGAGCATCTAGCCGCTACAACATGGCGGCTCCCTAACTGTTTCTGATGCATTTATTTTATGGCATGATGCAACTTTGTCCATATCTTTTTTCTTGGTTTCCTTATGCCTCTATTTCACTCTAAATTTTCCTTTGCTGAAAAGGTTATGAAGGGCGGAAGTAAGAGAATGGCTTTTATATTGCCTATAGCAGTGGTCCTTATCCTACAAAGAGGAAATGCAACCTGAAAACTTTATGTTATCTTCAACGCAGTGAATAACCCCACACTTTATTGCTTGTGTCAGCTCTGTGGCTAAGTCGATGCGAACGCTTCGAATGCCGGAATGTCGGGTTAGATTCCAGCTGCTGGCCATGCGCCTTGCGTTAGTTTCGACAGAGGTATCAGGAAAGCTGACTGTCCAGAAAGCAATGGCAAACTACTAGACGTAAATTCGCCTAGAAAAACCACACAACAGCCAGGAACTGTTGGGGTTGGTTCTGCAACATCCTGTAAAGTATATGCAACTAACCTTATTGCTTGTAGTCTTTAGATGAAAAGTGGTGCTGAAATGTTGTCAAGGAAAAAGGGGATTAAAAAAATAAATGACGGCACAGGGGCATAATTTATCCTAAATGTTGGCCTGATAATATTCATACTTTAATAACAAAAACAATAATACCTACTTTAATAAGCCAGGCTTTGATGTGCCTGTGAAAGTGCAGACAATCCCTTTTGAGTTAAACTGAGAGATTGACAGTTGCACTGTCATGGATGCTGTTTGAAACTCACTGGGTGCAAAAGTAACAGTCACCTCCACTAGACTGTTTGCTGACACTATGCCTATCAGTGATGAAAAACATAACAGTGGGCTACCAAACATGTTACTACATCATAGATATCAGTAATAACAAAAATAACAGATTAGTCAGTGGGCTACTAAACATGTTACTACATCATAGATATCAGTAATAACAAAAATAACAGATTAGTCAGTGGGCTACCAAACATGTTACTACATCATAGATATCAGTCATAACAAAAATAACAGATTAGTCAGTGGGCTACCAAACATGTTACTACATCATAGATATCAGTAATAACAAAAATAACAGATTAGTCAGTGGGCTACCAAACATGTTACTACATCATAGATATCAGTAATAACAAAAATGACAAATTAGTCAGTGGGTTAACAAGGACACATCACTTCATCATTAATCAAATTTTTAAAACAACTTCATAAATCTGTATCCTGACTCATAAATACATTACTTTGTCGTAACAATCAATGACAAACATGATAGATTAGTTAATGGGCTGACAATCGCATCTTAACTATCAGTGATAAACATGACAGATTAGCCAGTGAGTTCATGAAGACAACATTACATCATAACCATCAGCAATAATGAACATGACAAATTAGCCAGTGAGTTCACACAAACAAACAAAAATCATTACATCACATCTATCAGTGATAAACATGACAGATTAGCCAGTGAGTTCACAAAGGTATGATTTAAATCAAAATTATCAGTGATAATAAATATGACAGATTAGCCAATGAGCGCCCCCCCCCCCCCTCCTCCTCCTGCCCCTAAAAAATTACATCATAAATTTTAGTGATAAACATGACAGATCTGTAAACAGACTCGCTAACACATTACTACATCCTAAGTAACAATCATGCCTGACAGAATAGTAAATCGACTTCAAACACACAACTACTCCATCAATAACAATAAACATGACAGATTTGCTCACTGGCTCCCCAAACACAACATTATATCACAGCCATCAAGAACAAACATGACAAACAATCCCCATCACTGACGGCTGCAACACAGGGAACTGGGACAGCAGGTACATGTGTTGCCATGGCATGACCAGAAACACATGGTAAATTTCTGGCGGAAAAATTCCCGAGGTGTTCATGGTAATTATCTCTTCAGCCAAAGTAATAAACAAAGGGAGCCACTATGGTGTAATGTCTTTTGCCTGCAGACCCAAAGATCATAAGTTCAAATCCTCACTGTATGGATTTAAAAAAAAAATTACCCTTGTTGCCAGATTGATTCTGCAAACAACGGGTGCCAGGTAAAGTCCTGGAAAGTAAAGGCTATAATATTATAAAGTAAACACTTCCAAGAATTATGCATACATTAGCAGCAAGTAACGAAGAAATGCTGACTCTAATGTCACTCAGACATTGACATTTCTTACCAGACATTGGTTCTAGTGAGAATGCAGGATGGGACTTGATGTATTCAAAGCGGAATTCAAAGTCAACAGGTGCCATACTTTTCAGTGGAAATGTTTTTGACACACTGAAAAACAGCAGAAGTTTTGTAAATATTGTATTAATTTTTTGTACACTAAAAAGGAAAAAAAAAATTTGATTCTCATGCAAAATTCTAAAACTACGGCAATTTCAGCCTCGGGAACAGCTAAGAAAGGTTAAAAGAAAACACGCTGAGAAAGTTTTGCACATGACAAACCAGAGGAATGTTGTATTAGTGGCCAACTTCAGGTTACTAGAAAATATTTGAGCACAAATATTAGAAGACTGCATCAATCCTGACAACATGTAACTATATAGAGAAAATCCCTCCTTTGAGAAGGATTTGAGCCCAGGATCAACAAGCCAACAGCCAAGGGAATTAGCCATTAAATACAAAACTTCATGTAAAAATTCCAAACTGCATAACTCACACAAGGCCGGGTACCAGTATTTTTGCCTGATGGTGCAAAGTGGTCTCAGCTGAAGATTGATATCTCCCCTTCCTCCCAAATGCTTTTTTTTTTTATTATTATTATCTTAGCTATAAGTAAAGTAAGTAAAGATCTTTTTTCACTCCTTAGGGGTATCGGGTATATGGGAAGAGCGCCCATATTTTTAGATCATCGGCACTAGGTGGGTAATGTGGTCAGCATTACGCCAGCAATCTTTACTTCCCCAGAACAGCCATCCTGGTACGCAGTTTAGGCTGGGTCGACCTGCGACGTCCCATACCATGATAAAAATCCACACAGCCAACAGTGGGTTTCAATCGCGGTACATTGGAATTACGAGTCAGACTTGCAACGCCCAAGCCATGGACGCTGCATTGTCTTAGCTTTACTGACACAAATTACAGCCTTTATCAACATCATCAAGTGTATGGCCGACTGGTGTGGGCAAATATGCCTCTCCACTATCTGCAGTCTGCTTAAACAGGATGCATCAGTTCATGTGTTGACATCCCTCCATGCCATGACAAAGGCTGTCAAGAATATTGTCGCATTGTCTTCCTCTGTCTCTTTCTTCCACTGATCTTTCACAATATATGCCAGCTTCCTTCTTCTCCTAATATGACCAAACAATGATGATTGTCTCTTTCTGATGTTTGTGACAAGGTTTCTTTAAGCCCTCGCATTTTTCAAAACATCCAGATTTGCTCTTTTTGGCTATTCAAGGAGTTTTAAGAGTTCTTCTGTAAAACCACACCGCCAAGACCTCAAGAAATTGTTTGGTTTGTTTTCTAATTGTCCAGGATTCACAATCATATATTGAAATGTCTCTTTTTGGCACTACAAAATATCTTATTTTACCTTCGATAATATGTACTTCTTGCACAAGATATTCTTCATTTAATAAAAAACAATGCTAACCTGTCCTGTTATTCAGTATGTCTTTATAACAATTCACCATTAATGTTACAAACAGACAAATAGCTAGTGTCTAATCAGTTAATGAGCAATCATTCAAAATATCTTTGCAAACATACTTCCTGTTACAAGGAAAAAATAAACCTGTAAACACAACTGTAAGATTCAGAATAAACACAGGGAAACAATAAAGAGTACAGAATTTAAAAATTAAAAAAACTGCTATGTCATTATAAAACAATGACACAGCACTTGTTTGATTTTTTATTTTTTTTATGGGATTATTATTATTGTAAGAATCTTACCTGTAACCAACTGCAACTGGCTGGAATGTGTAATTTTTGGGGAAATCTTTGGTACTCATGACTGGATACCCATGGATAGGGACAATTAGGTTGTCTTCACCCTGATTTTAAAAAAAATTTATTTGTTGTCCTTTTTTAGTTTAAACAGAATTAGAGCTCCACTAAATATTTATAACATTTAAATGGTCTAATTAATTTACCACTCAGCTTGTATATAAGTTAACCACAGTCTCCATTCTTATCCCAACGTCTTTTTAGGACGTAATTTTTTTTGTTATTTGAAGCCCCACTCTGGCTTTTGCCAGGGGCCGCAATATAGGCAGGCCATAAGTATGGCCAATTGTCTGAACGCGGTTTCTGGGACCTCTCCACTGTGATCCTCACCCACACGGTGGCACTTTGTGTCATCGGGTGTTTATCGTTTGTGTGATGTCATGGTGGGGTAGAAAGTCAGTCAGTCAGACCACAGTCTCGTCAAACAGATTCAATAACTGTACAAATTAAGCAGCAATTAAAAAAAACAGTAATTATAGTTTAGAAAAAAAAAACTAGCATGGTTGCAGCTTTTCTAGATAGTCCTCATATACATCTTTAAACTTTAAGTACACAACTTTCAAATATTTGCCATATTACTATGATATACAAAAAAATTTTCAATGTGGCAATATACTGGACACAGTCTGCGAAGAAGCGAACAGAGAATAATTATACAGGCACAGAAATGGTAAAAAATGGATTTAGGAAATGAGCTCATCAAAGTAAAACCCTAAAGAATGTTGCCTGCGAGATGCCAGAAGTGCTTGAGGTAATTTCATCCATGATTTTGAAAGGATTACACAATACAAAGGAAACAAGGACCTTCCTGTGTGGATTCTCAGTGCTCAGTTTTCATTTTAAGAGGAAAAAGAAGAGAGGTCCCCCCCCCCCCCTTTTTTTTCCCCCACCACCCAAATCCAATGTCATAAAAGTTAAGTAATTCAGGATATCTCCTTCAAAGCCAAAACACACTGCCTGAGAGGTGGAGAACCAGCAGTCTGCATACAAACAAGCCAAATCTATAAAAGGGATGGACACCCAAGCTAAGGTTTTAGAACAAGACCAGAGTTTGTAGCTGGTAAATGTTAAGAAGAATGGAGAACTAGACTCAGTCTTATGTGACACCTAACGGCGCAATATAATAAAGATGATGATGATACAGCTGTTATAAAACTGTTATACAACTTTCCCATAAACGTTACACATCTACCATATACAATTTTAAACAGCTTTTCAAAGGTTCTTTGCATTATTCTACAAGTCTATAATCAGTTCCCATAAGTTTTGACAAAATGTCTAGTCTCTAAAACATATATTATTCAAAACTGAGGACAAATATTTGAATAATTATAAATATTATTTCTGCACCCCTGTAAAATTAATAATCACATGTTTACACAAAAGTACATAAAAGGTTTACAAAATCATAAATGAAAACACTGTTTCATCCAAAGTAATAATTTTTCTATTATAACAAAACAGAATAGCTTAAAGGAAACAGTTCCACAGACATTTAAAAAAATGGATTTCATGTTTTAAAGTATCAGTTGAAATAATTTTAATTTTTAATCTAATGAGATTTAACAGAAAGAGTAGAAATAATCTTACAGGGCAATGAATGCGAATACAATCATAATAGTAACGCCATTCATCCGGAGTGAACTCCACTTGGCACTCCACCGCCATGCCTGGGATCATTCGGGCCTGAGGAAAGCAACACAATTAATTAGCAATTATACTGTTTATAATGAGACATTAATACTGCTGCTAAGAACCAATATTACCCCACTCTAGATGGATAGATAAGTGATTAGTCTCTCCCTATGGCAAGTATATATTTTCATGCTGTATTTATGTGCATGTTTTATACACATGCAAAACTTCTCAAGGGTTTCTTCTTTGTACTACCACACCAAGTATGGGGGCAGAGTGGCTCAGATGTTTGGTGTCAGTTTCTCATTTAAGTAAACCTGGTATAAATTATCATCATCATGTTCACATTTTTTAATATGTCAGTACAGTAGTAATTCTGTACACGCCCAATTTGGTATAAGTACAAGCTGGTATATGTCCGGTTTAGACTCAGAAATGGTTGATGTTGTATGTAGTCTTCATCTGGAATGTGACCTCTTTGCTAGAATATGTTTGAGTCAAAATTATTGCTGACACCATGCATTTTCTTTGTTTACCTCTTTCAAGACAAAACCACAGTAGATGCAAATGCCTTAGCAGAGAAGTATTGACCCAGCAAAGCCAAAACAAGCCAGAATAGCATTGTCTGGAAGGACCTGGCAATGTCACATTTCCAAGTTATCCCGAGGAGAAGGCAGAAACAAAGTTCTTTGTGCAGATGAAGGGTACTCTCCTTCCAAACAATAGCATCTCCTCCTCCTCCTCCTCCCTTCTCAGTACCTTCCTAGCAGGCAGTCAACTCTTCTAAGGAAGATAAAGGTGAGGTTACATTTTCACTTATTTCATCTGATTGTTTTTGCATTTATGTATTTAAGTATTAGGCAGTACACAAATTATTTGACACAATCTCATCAATGCACTATATGCCAATAACAATATGATTTTTTCCTATAGGAGTGGATTAACTCATTCTGCCTTTATTTCTTTTGGGAAAACTTGTTTGGTACACATACTGACTGGCATACGTTCAAGGACGAGGAATGGATTAAGCATTTATAATAAGTACCATCGTATTTTCCTTCATCTGCACCTCGGATATTCTAACATATGTGTATATAACATTGAAGCTCTTCTTAATAGCATCCAGCAGATTGTCAACTCTGTCAAAAATGTCTTATTATTCTTCCAGTTCTGCATCTTGCTCCAGAAAACTTAAGTTTTGTGGGCACATTAAACAGATCTGGCTTATTTCTATGCACACTGTTGGTCTCAGCCTTTCAAGCTGATGCACTCTGACTTCAAAGAAAACATCCCTTATTAGTTACCTTTCATGAACTGATTGTTTTAGAGGGTCTTTCTTGTTCTCCCAAAAGTGTGGCCCCGGAACATAAAGAATAACCATGATGAGAGTGAAAATAATATGAAGATGATGATTATAGCAAAGATAATGGTTATGGTGATAATGATAGTGATGAAGATGAAAATGATGATTATGATGAAGATGACAATAATGATGATACTGAAGATAATAATAATGATGATTATCGTTGTAATAATTAAGACAACAACAACAACAATGATGATGACTTTCTACAAGAAAACAAATCTGAAACTAACAAACATTAAAATTCTTACACAAAGCAAACACGCTAAAAGATTGATCTCCTACCGGTTTTGTATACTTCAGACCAAAGTGACGAGTCTGAGGTGGAATAATGTGAATCCTAAGCACTTCAGAGGATGCATTCTGCAGTCTCAAGTTCTTCACCTGCTTCTCACCAACTTGAAATCCCTCAAAGTAAACAACTTTTGGTTTGGCATGCACAACAAGGTTGCAGCCTACAGTTGCAAATGTTTCTGATGCAACATAGAATGACAACACAGTGTCAGTAGAAGGTTAGATCAAGTCAACATTCCAAGGTTATTTTAAAATGCAGTGTGTTCTCACAAGCCAGGTTTTTTATTTTTTGTTGTTGTTATTTTATTTTTTATTTAATGTTAGTATTAAATAAAATAGGTTCCATTGTGAGTGTTGCAAAAACCAGATAAAGCATTATAAAGCTGTACAAAATAAAGAAACACTCAGTCCAGAGCTCAATGTGTAAGGAAACCATCATTTTTATAAGTACAACATTAGGTTGCCAGAAGTGTGGCAACATGGCAGTTTCCTAAAAGAATATTATCAAGGTGAACAATTCAACAAAAGCTGTTTCTGGTAGCAATAATAGAATAAACAATCTCTACGAAGTTGTTTCTAAAATCTACAATAAGAACAAACTCAACAAAAACTAGTTTCTGATAGCTACAGTAGTAAAGAACATGCAGAAAGACAATAACTATGTGTTTCAGATAAAAAGACAAACAACAAGAACAAGTTGAACTACGCCCCCCCCCCCCCTTTTCCCCCACCAACGTAAAAAAAGAAGACATCCTTATGGGTATGTAATGTGTTATGCATCTCAAAACTTCAACAATTCTGTCATTCCACCATAAATACTTCTTGCGTGTGTGTATATATATGCATGCATGTGTGTGGGAGTGCCTGCGAGTGTGTGTGCTGCCTATAAAGATGTTTTTGGAAACCTGACTTAATGGCATTCTTTTCTCTTTTTAATAAGCATAAAACATTCACATACAATACATATTTCACTATAGTTAGCATATTGTAGAATTTAATATCTCACAAAACTAGTTTTATGATGGTATGTATTGTTAATGAAAGCTACGGTAGAGTAGTGTCTAAACACTCGCCTGCCAGCCTAAAGGTAGAGATTCACATTCTCTTCGAATTGGTACTTTTTTTTTCTAAACATTTTTTTTTTCAGCCACGTTCACCAGGAATTCAGATTTCCTCATTTATCTATGATCATTTGGGGAAAAAAGAAGTAAGACAAGGTTTTTATTTTTTTTTACACCTGGTGTTCAAGAGACAGAGGGAATCACACATAATACATTGTTTAGGAGTAAAGAGTTAACTTGATGCACTAAAGTTTGAACAAGTAAAACAATTATTTATACAGAATCAAGAACTCACTTGTTTCCAGTAGGTGGTTTGGAGCATGCTGACTCTTCATGGGCTCCGTGAGCTGCATCTGTTCAATCATGAGAGCTTCATCAGTTGTTGCAGACTGCTCCCTCTCAACTCCACTTCCATGGCTAGACAGAGCTCCACTTACGGCTCTATCCACTTGTTCTATAACCGTTGGCATCTTCGACCAAGATTCAAGATGAACTGTAATCGTATCCAGCTTTCAGCAAATCTAATTAATATTTAAAATAATAACCTGTCATACTATCACATTGTTTCTACTGCCTTTCGCTTTCATACTATATTTCTATTGTTTTTATAATTGTAGGCTCGTAAAATTTGATATGACTGATTATATTTCTCTAGCAATGTCTGTACTATAAATACTAGTATAATTAGTAATTAGTTTTGCTACAAATTATGACGGAGCTTCTAACATAATGTTTGTTTTAGTGTTTATTTACATAATTGATTGATTGTCTCCTCACTCGTACCGCACGAAAAACGCTAAATACTTAAATAGTAAATACATAAACGCTTCTTATAACAATCATTTATAAAACTAAGTCCTGCTGGTATTTCTGAGTAAATAAATACAGATGCATAATAATTTCCATGCCGTTTTTTTTTTTTTTTTTTTAATTAACTGCAATAAATTTAAAAGGGATATGAAATAGATAGAACTTCTATCAGAAAACTGAGTTGCCGCTGTTGCTATAGGCGACAGCTCTTCTATATGGAGATTCTTTATGTGTTGGAGTGTTAATGGTTTCAGACACACAAGACTTCTCATTTTCCACATATTAAGGGCAAGCGCTGGAGTGACCAAGCGCGCATTATTGTTCACTGCTGTGTGAATATAATCACTTCAGGGGCTTTTTTAAACGGAAACAATGGTGCCGCTAATCACAAGACAGTGTATAAAAAACGTGGGATTCTTCACCGTTATTGCAAGGAGAGCCAAATATTACCACCTCCCCCCCCCCCTTTTCAAATATTGAAAGGCGAGGAAAAGGGCCCTTTATTTTTATTCACTTACTACTATAGCTTTCGATCTTTTAGGCTGTCTTTTCGTTGTTCAGCGTCTGTGGCTTAGGCGTTGCGAAGGCCAGGGTGCCGGGTTGGAAAAAGAGGGTGTTATTGAATCAAGAAGCCCCTTCTAGGCGGTCAGAGATGTTTGTGAAAGAGGGTGGTTTTAAAGAGACTGGGATTTTAAGATAATCTTATTGCTTCATTGCAACATTCAGATTTCATTCTGGACACGGTAACTGATTGAATAATTAGATCTTCAATTCCCCCTTGTGATTGCCTACAGAAACATCTGTATTCTTATTATGCCTTGTGCATTCCTGCAGTGTAGCCAATCGACAACAAAGAGCCTGAAGGGAAAGACAAGAAATGTGACAACGAACACTACTGCAATCTCAATAGATTTAGAAAACAATGTTCCAACTGTTGCCACTCAACAGACAAACGAATTGGAACAATCAACATCGATCGTATTATTGAATCAAGAAGCCCCTTCTAGGCGGTTAGAGATGCTTGTGAAAGAGGGTGGTTATAAAGAGAATAGGATTTTAAGATAATCTTATAGCTTCCACTGAAACATGACAGCGCCTCCAAGCGTATGAGAAACGTTATTTTAAACTGCTACACTAGAACTGGTACTCATAGAAAAAAGTAGGGACATGAAAGGACACATAGTGTGACAAAATAACTGTATGTTCCGGGCCTCGTTGTGAGGGGCACAAGAATAGACATACTGCCTCCCCACCAAACATATTGTAGGGGTCGACTAATTGGGAGCTTTCTTTAAAGTCGGAATTCGTCTGCCCGAGAGGAAAGGAACAATTAACTGAACACAAATAACTAGTAAAACAGATGTGCACGCAAAACTCAGTCCCTGGCAGAAAGCGAAAGTCATATGGACGAACAACCAGGACTGTCTGCTGGAGCTTACAGCCGGTTAACAACGAAGCAGTTAGTTGCACATTTTTTACAGGACGTTTCAGAACCAACCCCAGTATTGCTGATGTGGTTTTTCTAGGCAAGTTTACGTCCAGTTGTTTGCCATTGCTTTTTGGACGGTCAGCTTCTTGATACCACTGTCGAAACCAACGCAAAGGAGCAAGGCCCGCAGCTGGGATCAAACCCGGCATCCTGGCGTTCGCAACGCCTAAGCCACAGACGCTGAACAACGAAAAGACAGCCTTACAGATCGAAAGCTATAGTAGTAAGTTAGTAAAAGTCAACGCCATCTCAAATAATGACTACCGACTAAATCACGGTACATTTTGGCGGAGTACCTTCGAAAATGTGTTACTGGAAGCGTGTCCATGTTGCATTGTGTGACATTTTGATATGCTTACAAAGTTCTGTGTTCTGAATGTATTCGTATTACAAATCGACAAGCGGATATTGTGAAGTGGGTACATAAGATTTTCAAACTTTGCTGTTAGATTACAGCAATTTGAATTTTAATTCACAGGAGAAAGTCGTGTTGTGGTGTGTGTGTGTTACCGTTTCTAGTCAGTAGTTAGGATTTTTTTTGGGAACTGACTGTTTATTCTTTTTTCTACTTTGAATGTAGAAATCTTACTTTTAGGGAAAATACAAACAGGTAATTTAGAAGCCATATCTGGAGAATATCGACAGTTGTCAGGTGCAAACTATCTTGTGTTGGAAGAAAACTATTGCTTTCATATTGACTGTGCATAAATGGTGCAACCACACTGTGGACAAATTGTGTCAAGATATTTCTGAGTTCTGGGTAAGTGCATAAAAGCAATATTTATTTGACTAACTAACCTCTCACAGCAAGTCGCTCTTTGCCTCTTTACTAATTGTTGACTAACAGTATAATTATACGTTGTAGAAGTACACTAACAATATTATTATTTTTGTGAATTGTTTTCTGCTTCACGGACACTGGCTGTAAACTTCTGGCTGTTCATCTACTTCTAATGCACGTTTGCAGTTGTACGGTCTGTGTTCATGTTTGTGAATTGTCTTGTGTTTCATGAACACTGGCTGTAAACTCTGGCAGAAACTGTTGGTTGTTCGTCTACTTCTTATGCACGTTTGCAGTTGTACGGTCTGTGTTCATGTTTGTGAATTGTCTTGTGTTTCATGAACACTGACTGTAAACTCTGGCAGAAACTGTTGGTTGTTCGTCTACTTCTTATGCACGTTTGCAGTTGTACGGTCTGTGTTCATGTTTGTGAATTGTCATGTTTTCATGAACACTGGCTGTAAACTCTGGCAGAAACTGTTGGTTGTTCGTCTACTTCTTATGCACGTTTGCAGTTGTACGGTCTGTGTTCATGTTTGTAAATTGTCTTGTGTTTCATGAACACTGGCTGTAAACTCTGGCAGAAACTGTTGGTTGTTCGTCTACTTCTTATGCACGTTTGCAGTTGTACGGTCTGTGTTCATGTTTGTGAATTGTCTTGTGTTTCATGAACACTGGCTGTAAACTCTGGCAGAAACTGTTGGTTGTTCGTCTACTTCTTATGCACGTTTGCAGTTGTACGGTCTGTGTTCATGTTTGTGAATTGTCTTGTGTTTCATGAACACTGACTGTAAACTCTGGCAGAAACTGTTGGTTGTTCGTCTACTTCTTATGCACGTTTGCAGTTGTACGGTCTGTGTTCATGTTTGTGAATTGTCTTGTGTTTCATGAACACTGGCTGTAAACTCTGGCAGAAACTGTTGGTTGTTCGTCTACTTCTTATGCACGTTTGCAGTTGTACGGTCTGTGTTCATGTTTGTGAATTGTCTTGTGTTTCATGAACACTGGCTGTAAACTCTGGCAGAAACTGTTGGTTGTTCGTCTACTTCTTATGCACGTTTGCAGTTGTACGGTCTGTGTTCATGTTTGTGAATTATCTTATGCTTCCCGAACACTGGCTGTAAACTCTGGCAGAAACTTCTGGTTGTTCATCTAATTCTTGGCTTTAGTCTTGTTCCAGACACTGTTTTGAACAACGAGATCCGGTATCTATTTGGAGAATTTTTGTGTTTGATATGTGTATATTACACATAATTTGCAGTTATATTATACTTTTTAATATGCTTTAATTACCTTTAAAATAATATACCATGCATGATACTTATACGCGTTGTTGCATGCAGTATTCAGAAATTTGTGTTATGTATTTTTAAACAGTTACCAAAAAATTGACAATGACAAGGAATTGATTTCATCCAACGTGATGAAACTGGACAAATTTGTTTGTGCTGTTTGTACCTTGAGGAAAAATATTTAGTAGTGCTGTAAGTACTGTTAAGAAAACTGCTCTGGGTGAAATGTTATTGCACATATCAATTTCATATTGACTGTGCTTGTTTACTAATTATTAAATAACAGGATAATTATATGTGTCGGCTCTGTGGCTAAGTCAATGCGAACGCTTCGCTTTGTAATGCCGGGATGCCAGGTTCGATCCCAGCTGCAGGCAATGCGCCTTGCGTTGGTTTCGACAGTGGTATAAAGAAAGCCGACCGTCCAGAGGCAATGGCAAACTACTGGATGTAAATTGCCTAGAAAAACCACACAACAGCCAGGGACTGTTTTAAGGTTGGTTCTGCAACGTCCTGTAAAGGATACGCAACTAACTTTATAATTATATGTTGCAGTAGTCTACTAATAGTAATAATAACCATCAATCATTTATATCTATGTTACGCATGACATGTGCATGTTTCAAAGCAGTATTTTTATGCGCTAAATTTGATAAAGTAAAAATGTTACCCCCCCCCCCCCCCCCCCCCCCCCCCCCCCAATCGGCTCCACTGATGCAACAAAACTGTCTCAGAATCAAAGAGTTAGCACTGATATTTCTTTACTTTTGCTGGAATAACTTTCAGTTTATATCCAACCGTTATTGATGTTTATCTTCATGTTGACTGTAGCAAAAACATTTTTGTTTTTCTGTAAGAGCCTTTATTGTTATATTTAAATAGCACACTTACTTAACCTTAAAAATTACGTATAGTTCTATAAAATATGTTGAAAATTAATGAAACTAGTTTAATTTGTTTATACATCTCCTCGATAAAATTGTGGACACAGAGGAACTCCATTTTTGCACAAGAACGGGAATCCCCGGTGACCTGTTTGGCCTATAATTAGAGTAAGCCGTGGTAAAATTAAAGGACCATTTTCCACGCCTTTAGGCG